GATGTAAAATAATTTACAGTTAAATTGCTTGGCCATTTATTGCATCTCCTTCTCCTGCTGCATACTGGTGGCTTTGCTTGAATGCTCAGGCCAGCAGATGTGATTTCACTTCCTTGTGCCTTCTGAAACGTGCTGATTCTGCATAGCCTTCCTCTCCTTCTGATGACTAGAAGTGTTTTGTCTTCCTGGAATTTGACAGCTTGTATGATCATAGCTGATGATGGATGTGTGAATTAGCTCTCAGACTCTAAAAGAGTCTCTCATTCTCCACTTGCTTGAGAAGCCGAATTTGACTTGCCACAAGTTGCCGTGTCAGATGTGTAAGGCTAAATAGAGCAAATACTACTAATGATGGAATTCAAGTATATGATAAAAAAGAAGAATGACACAAGAAATTTATGTCAAAAGTAATCTGTTGGTAAAAGCTGCTCTTAGAAAGTATGATCAATGCACACCACAAACGGCTTCCTCTAGGGCTCACAATTTTTTTCATATCCAAGCAGCTGGAGTTAAGGCATCAACATTAGGAATTACTGCAAAAAATGCGAAGGCAGAGAAACGATTGGGAAAAGAAAAGCCTTTTCCATGATGGTAAAGATTTTATTATATTTAAGCAACAGCTGAAAGAATTTGCATTCTGTTGGGGTTTATTTTATTCCCCCATCTGTTGTACCCTTTTCACTATATACTTTCTTTTTTTTTTATTTTAAATGTAAGTTCTGATTGAAATGGAATTTGATGAAAGGCATTGGAGAAAACATATGTGTTGATGGAATGAGGAAACTTGTGAAAATAAAGGGTTTGGAAGTAGGAAGTGGTTTTTAGTCAGAAAGTTGAAAAGAAATGCAGAGGAAAGAAAATAAAATTATCTGAATATTCAGAGTCACTGGTATAAGAAAAAGAGATTCTTCTATTCAAAGCCATTATATAATAAGATAGATGAATATGCATTCAAATCACTGTTACATACCACTTTCCAGAGAAAGTGTTTCTGAATTCATTTGTGGACATAGCCTGCTTATTTATTTATTTTGTCAGGATCTGAGTCAAGACTAATTGAAATCAAAGATGTAACTCCTGTAGTTGATAAAATATGTTGATCTACCAGTTCCTACCAAAATGAATCAAAATACAGCAAAAAAAAAAGATTGGATACAAAAGAACATGAGCAAATTTCAGCTAGCAGGAAATTTTGAAACTTTGTGGTTCAGAAATGTCTCCATAGCGGCGCTTTATCATTACTGGCAATGTTTGTGTAGCTCAGAGGTGGGAACCCTGTTTATATAGATATTCTCTGTATTTTGTATTCTGAACTTCTTTCAGAAAAGCAACCTTGTTAATGCTGCATTTAAATCTACATTCGATATTGCTTAAATCTCAGTGGGACTTGCATTTAAATGCTATCCTTATGAGAAATTTTCCTGAGGAAGTCATTTTCTGGAGCACTGCCTGTAAATGCTCTGAAAAACAGCACAGCATCTTTGTCTTCCTGATTCAAAACTTCAGATCAATTATAAAAATACCAATTTTTAAAAGTTCTTCAGCATGAGCTATTTTTCTGTCATGCACATGGCTGTCAGCCTTATTTTCAGCTGGCAGTGTGAAAACCAACCTGCTGAAGCAGCCACCTTTGTCATAAATTTAGCTTGACAGCTTTTCTGCAGAGCTTTCAATTAGGATCTTAAAAAAATTGAAAAGAATGAAAGTGTCTGTCCAAATGTGATGAGCAAAGGCTATTTTATGGGGGACCTACACATACTACTTTTTGTTCAGACTCCATGACGATCTTGAACCTTCAATCCCCAGTGTTAAATAGGAAGCATTGTGCAATGCTTAACAAACAAACAAACAAAAGACAGATCTCGTTATAGCCAAAAAACCTCCATCTTCCAGTTAGTACTGCAGGGCTTGGTTTTGCTGTTGTAGCAGACACATATATTGGATATCATGCAGAGCCAGCAGCTTGCTGGGATTTCCTGCTGAGCTGAGGGATGCAGGCAGTGGAGTGGATCTGTGATGCCAGTTAAATTGATCAGATCTCTTTCACTTAGAGATTTGTACACATGATGGAGGAAATTTCAAGTAAAACCTGTTTCAATTGTTGGCTGCTGAAAGCTTTTATTATGAAGCAAGGAGAGCCCGTGTGCCTAGAAAGAGTTGAAAACCTCAGCTGTGACAGAAGGCACAGAAAGCCTCAAGTGTAAGGTGCTCGGCAGCGCTGGCAGGACCATTTGGTCAGCTTATTAAAGCTGCAACCCTTGGCAGCTCCCTTCCTACAGCTGCCTCCCAGGAAATCCTCTCTGACTTTCAATCACAAGCAATTGTGTCTGACCTCGTGTCAGGATTGCCACTGCTGCCTGCATCTATCTTGGTAAATTTTGTCATTCAGGCCCTGGAACTGTAGGTTTTCTTGTGAGGTGTGGAGAGAAAGATGATAATTAAATTTCCAACTTGCTAAATGGTAAAAATAACCTCGAAACAGCTATTAACTGTAAATTGCTTTAATGCATTCTGCCTGGATCTTCAAACATTCTTAAATAGTGCAGTTGGAAGGTGTGAACAGAAATGCAGAAACCCCTAAGTCTGTCTGAATGAAGGGCCAGGTTTTGAAATCACATAGACTTTAGATTCATCTCTGAAATGTGAAGCTGGAAATCTGGTAAAAATCTTTGGGTGGATACAAGAGGTGAATGCACAAAGGAGGCCAAACAGCACCCCAGCACAAATACCCCATGCATACTTTTTGGGCAGTATCACTCCAGCATTCCTTCCTCACTTCATCTTTTTCATATCTATTGAATCTGTAACTGTGACAGCGTAACCAGCAATGTGCTAAATTTGTTAAATATACTTATTTTTTACAGCTATTAATATAGGTGGGCAACAGTGCAATTACAGAAATGGACAAAGTTCAAAAGTTTGTTGGAATTTCTCTGCACTGTAATGATCCTGTCTGAGTTACATGATGACTGTCTTACAGAAGCAGTTAAAGGGGGGGTTGAGGAGGGGATGAACTGATAGTAACTTACACATCAGCACATTCTTATGACTTTTGTGATAGAGAAAGTTACTATGGAAAGATATTTATAAGCTCTACATTACTATACACGTATAACTTTTGCTTCACCGAATTATCCAAGCCATGCCTTTCCTTCCTCATTAACTTGGCCCTTGAGCCATTTAAGAGTGCCTTGAAAAGCTCCCTTGAGTTGCTCTCTGGAACAGACAAAGCCAATTACAAGCTCTGTTCAACAGCTTTGACACCCTCATATTAAGCCTGCATGTGCCTAAAGGGAGGACAGGGCTCTCTGTAAGCATTTCCCACCATTATTCCTGAGTGAGTTTGGCACATTGCAGGGTGAAACAGCCCTTCCATGAGCAATGTGTCAGCACTCAAAGAGATACTTCACAGAATCTCTCACTTGGCACAATAGAAATGTATTTCATAATTTCAGGAAGTGCTCTTACCTACCTTAGTGTTAATGAGTTGGTCTCTCTTTTCTTCATCAGTATTGATTTGCTTCTCATTGCAAATAAATAAAGGGCTGTGCCTATCTGCAGATAATTCCTCCCCTCTGTGTTTGACAAGATAAAAGCTTACAGCTAGACTGTATGATTTCCCTAATAATACTCTATTTGCTTTCTCACTGCTGGTATTCTGTGATCTATAAAAGAAAAATAATGCATGAGAAAGCTGCTTGATGCAGCATGAAGTTCACTAAACAGTGCTTTGTTAAATCATGCATAAATGTCTATTGTGCATTTATCTGAAAGATGGACGTGACATAGTATAATAACGCTCCTATCAGATTGCCATTTTGGATTGAGTTAGTGTTAAAGTTTTCCTGCTGTTCCACACCTCATCTTCAGCTGTTCATCACCCCTTCCCTGAAATCACCAGCCTCTCAGATCTGTCAGTGTAACTGCACATGTAGTTTTGCCATAAGCTAGTTTTGCTAAAATGAGCTGTGTTAGATAACCCCTACTATTAGAAGTGTTTTAACTGTTGGAGTCATTTAGACAGAACTGGGTTAGAAGCAATTACACATGCCATTAGTTGACAGTTTGGAGAAGTCTGTAACCTCCAGTAGAGATGAAATGGGCAATGGGATCAGCAGAAAGAAGAACATTAGCCTCTTAATGTGGCACAATTTCAGCCCAAGTAGCCTTATTTAGCATGAAGGACCCCATGTAGGCAGTTGCATTCATTAATACTGAGAAACTAATGTAATTATTACACCTTATAAACTAACAGACAGGGTTGTTCTTCTGCCCACTGCTTGAAAGTGGCAGAATCAGACTTGCAGTTAACCTCAAACTTTTCTGTTATGTTAGGAAAACAGTCTTGTATTAACAAGGGACCTTGTCTGATTCTGTAGAAGTCGATGGCTAAAACAGCAGCAGGTTACCTTCCTGCTCATTAAAGAAAATAGATGTCAGGAGTGTTCTGCTAAACACTAAAAGTACAGGAGCCAAACAGCTAAGATGAGGTGAGTCACAGCAGGTTACACTATATTATTTCTGTGAAACTTCTCTTGAGTGTATGAGTGATAACAAGATTGTGGAACAGTTGTCACAAGAGTTGTTGTAAGTTTTCCCCATACCTAATAAGCTATTTGTATGAGAGCTAAAAAAGTGTCCATATATTTATGTGTGACATTATTTTCAAAATGAGAATCGGTTTTGGTGTTGGCTCATAGAAAAAGAAAAAAATTCACAGAAACTTTGAAGACCGGGTATAAATCACTGAATAGGCAACTTTTAAAAAATTATAGATGTTTTAAACTTCAGTATTTAGTGCACTGGAGTATTAACGTAGCGTAAGGACAGCATTACAGATGCAATTAATGGAACAAAAGTCTATGTTCACTTTAAAAATAAACCTGATTTTGAATGCTAGATTATATGTTTGCTTTTAACATGATAAAGTTTTAATGAACAGTTACACGAAAGTGAATGTTTTTCCTAATGATATTATTTTCTCTTTTTAATTTTCACAGATTCTCTTTGTCAAGCTATGACAAAACTATCCAAGGTTCAGCGCAGATGGGAACAGCCTTTCCTCCCCTGGCTGAGGCAGGAGCTGCAAAAGGTGAGATGGCACAAACATGGGAGGGGAATGAAGTGCTGCTGTCACATAGGAAACTCATGCAGCCTAAAAATAGATATAAAGCTGAAAACTAAATCATTAGGTGCAGGCAATTGGAAGTGTATTAGCATTTCCATGTTTACTTAGATTCTTCTGTAATTAGTGTAGTTGCTGTAAACTACTCTCAAGGGAATAAATTACAGGAGGAAAAAAAAAAGTCCCTTCATAAGGGCTGCATCTAGCAATGTAAAAGAGCTGATCTTAAAAGAACAATATTAATCCAGGAGAAATGGTACACTGTCATGTAGAAAAATATGATAATCTTTTACTCTAGAAGAATAATTCCCAAAAGGGGGGGATGGGGAAGTCAAATCTCAAGAGCCTGCTTCTGACACGCTTAGCAGCATGGAAGGGTGGAGGGGTTAGGGCAATTTTTTTGCATCCAGAGGTGGCTAAGTGACATATGAAACTCAGACAAAGATACTAATTTCATGTCACATTATAGTGCAATTCTGAGCATTATATAGGGTCTGTTATAGTAGGGTAAGAACACTGAGTGACCAAATTCTGAAGCTGTTTTTTAAAAAAAAATTGTATGTTTCTAGATGATACTTCTTCCTTGAAGAATGAAAAAAAGAGTTATAAAAGTTATGCCCCCACCCATTTTAAGAAAAGGAATTAAAAACAAACATTCTTACAGTGCAGAGAATGTGACCACGTTTATAAGATCTAGTGATGAGAGAAGCATTTCAGTGTGCATATGTTGAAATACAATATGCTTTGGTAGGTTCAAGAGCTGTTTCTTGGACTGACAGTGGTGACATGAGGAAGGAAAAGCAGTCCTGCTTGCAGGAGGGTTGAGTTTGTATGTATTTCTGTGTAAAACATTTTGTGCATGTGTTTGAGTTCTGTGAACAGATGTCTTTTTTATGGACCTAAATAAGTACTGAGAGAACCCATACACACCTGGGATGGCTAGCAGACAGGTGGTCATCTATTTGAGTCTTCATTTGTGAGCTCCTCTATACTTAGTTGTCTAATTGCTTTTCTCAAGTTGCAGCTAATATATTTGCAAATGTAATTAATTATACTTAAAAAAAATATGCAATAATCAGTTTCAATTGTTTGTTGTTCTTTCTTCATTTCTGGAATGTCAAACTACGATGCTACTGAACTACTATCTGGTTTATTTATGGACTGCGTTATGACTGGTAATGATGTAGAAAGACATACCTAATTATTTCTCAGGCTAAGTAAGGAAATACAGAAAATCGATTGCAACTAAATTAACTATTATGGCCAGCAGTGGGCAAGACAGGAATACCTGGAGAGCATGGCTGGTGAGAAAGCTAGCCATGATTTTTATACTGCTATTTAATATCATGAAGTGATCCCATTGACATTCAGTAGCACATTTGTATTTCTGAAGAAATACAAATTCTTAACCTTAGTAGCTACATGAGATACTTGGCAAACTTCTGGTAGTGGGTAAAATTGTAATTTTCACTTCTGAGAGAGTTCTGGGTCTACAAAGTGCTTCAAGACCAGCTTTGCAGATCTGTCTTTCTACATGACATGTGGTAAGTGGCAGCAGCTGCAGTGCCTGTGGGATAAGGCCATTGCATATTGTCTAGTGCTCAGGTATCCACTTCTGTATTTCTGAAGCCATGGCTGCTCAAGGTTCTGACTCCACTCTTCTGGAATCTTCCATTTTCAGTTGCATTTAAATCTGTACTCATGCTCAAATCTTGGTGAGCTGTTGGAATGAGCTTCCCAGGGAGGTGTTAGAGTCACATCCCTGAATGTCTTCAAGAAATGCGTACATTTTGCATTGAGTGACATTGTTAATGGTATGAAAGTGACAAGTTGATGGTTGGACTACATGATCTTAGTGATCTTTCCAACCTTAATGATTCTATGATTCCAGGATCCCTGTGTATATGCCCTTTCCTTTCTTTGTACAATCAGGAAGGAGTTCATGACAGGTTGAGTGGAGCTCTGGACAGCCTGATTTAGTGGTTAGTGACCCTGCCTATGGCAAGGGATTGAAGCTTGATGATCTTTAAGATCCAATGCAACCTTCGCCAATCTATGATTCCTTTCAATTTCCTTTTCACAGGATATATTGCCTTATGGATAGCACTTCTAACTTCATTAGAACAGAGAAGAGAGAGTGGGAAAGCCACTATGATGATAATTCAGGATACAGAGTAAAATCAAAGCTAAATATAGCTAAATAGCTAATAGAGTTGGGCAGTGATTAAGGTTGGAAAGACCACTAAGATCATCTAATTCAATCATCACCGCCATCAAATCCATGTTTCTCAGAATTTGTTTTTGTTTTTAAAGTGACATCTGTGGGAAGTCACTGGGAAGTTTGAGTGAAAAAGAAGACTGAGGGAGAACCATCAGGATAATTAATAATTATTCACAGCTGGTGAATGGATTTTGGGATAAATGGTAGGGTATGTAGATATGTCCATGACTGTGAGGTGGAGCCACCTGAATACACCTTACTGCCAAACCTTTTGGCAGTAAGTAGTAGTAAGAATAATTGTTGTTGTGTTCACTGTGAAAGATTAAAAGCTCACTATATTCTGGGAATAGAACTACTAAGGTGCCAGGCTGAAGATCTTAAGACATAAAAGACATTAGATCAGATAATGATCTCTACTTTAATCTAAAACATAAATGCTTTGTTGTGGTCAAACTCAACTTTTGGATTCAAAATCAGTATCAAACAGATCAAACTCAGACATACTGAGCAAACGTAAAAAGAAACTTAATCCAAAAGCCTCTTTGAATAGATAGTTGGAGTTTCATAGGGCATCTCTGCGTAGCCCTTTGTGATGCTGTGACAAAAACGTAGTTCAAGCCCAGAAAGTGACATAAGCCTTTCAGAATCCACAGGGATCCATGCCACAGCCAGTGCTTTTTCTGCAGGAGAGGAAAAATAACTGTTCAGGAATAAAACTGACAGGACTAACTTACTGAAGTATTAGAAATGAGAACTGTGACATTGCTCAGTTATTCTTCCAGACCTCTCAAAAGTAAGAGAAGTTCAAATGTTTTATTGCCAGTTCATTGATTATTAATTCTCTAACTTTAGTGATGCATTAAGAGTAAACAGTGGTGTTTTCTGAGACTTACCAGACTATCAGAGTACCAGCACTCACAGATTCAGGGTTGTTTTTTTTTTTGGTTGTTTTTTTTTTGTAGTTGTAAAATATTATATCTACGTAAAATATTAATTTACCTTTATTCTTAATGGTTAGTTAATTACTGTAACCCCACTGTAAGAAGAAAACTGCTTATTTAACTTTGTTTTGCAATTCTGAATCTTATGTAGTTGCAATTACTATTAGAAATAGGAATGTTTGCTTCCCATAAAACTATTAAAGAAAGTGGAAAAAAATGTGAACATGCAAGTCAGCATCCAAGAAAAATGGGCAGGCTGAAAATACAACAAAATATATTTGAGCAGTAATACAGATTAGAGTAAAAGATCATTGATGGTAAGAACTGGATGGTTTGAGAAGAGCTACAGGAATTCTGCAGAAGACAAGTTACAGATTCATCTTTCAGGAGGATGAATTTATTCTTCTTTAGAGACTCCAAATCTGTAATAACAAGATTTTATATTCTTTTAGAAGCTATTTAATGATAGTAAATAGTTAATTCTGAAGGCTGTTATTATCTACAAATATCCCATTCACCCTTGGAGCCTACTAAACTATTAGCTTCAGTGATATATTGAAATAGATAAAAACTGCTTTAAGGATTGAAAGAAAAAGGAGAACCCAACCTGTAGGACCTTAAAATGGATCATGGTACTTAAAAAACTCATAGCAACACTTGAAAATGACATCTTACTAGAGAAAATATAACTAGGTCTCAGCACCCGCCCTCTCCCACCAAACAAAAACAAAACCCCCCAAACAAACAAACAAAAACACACAAAAAACCAAACACATCACACCCTTGCAGTGATTGCTATAGAATTTAGATCAGAAAGAAAAAGTTAACCACACAGTGAGGTAGTTGAAGAAAGATACTGATTTGCCAAACACTGAACCCCTGGTGTCTGGCACAGAGGAGATGCCCAGCAGTGGCTGTCCGTCAGCAGTCTGCTGCTTAGGGGAAGATGTGCCACTGGCAGTGACACCGCACAGTGCTACAGGGGCTGTGGCCCTGGCAGAACTGGGACTCAAGATACAGGAAAGGAGTTTGAATCCAGGCAGAGCTGGCAGCTGTCTCCTGTCCCTGATAGAGGCAGAAACCAGTCAGAACAAGAGATGATCCTTGAATATTTCCTCTGATTATATGTATATCAGGCCAATAACCACTATTACGTGGTACTAATGCAGCTTACACTGCAGTTAGCAGCTGTGATTCCCATAGGTGAAATACTGAGTGAATGTTCTGCAGAAATTTCTGCTCTTGATTACTTCAAGCTGTTTACACAGAGTTAGATGTAAAATCAAAGGAAAGAATTGATTCCGTACTGAACTTTTTACCTGCAGCCATTTGGTGATGATAGCTCATTACTAGGGTAAAAATTATATAGCTTCATTTCTATCATTATCAAGAAATACTGTTTTGCTTCAGATCTAAAGAGTGGCATAGGCTTCTCTTGTTTCTGACAAATTTTCCTCTCAGTGTAACTGCTTCCCTATGCCGCTCGCCACTGAGCTACCTGTATTTTTTTTCTCCCTTTTTATTTTCCAGTTTAATTTATGTGGTCATGTGTGTTATCGTAAATGACCTGTGCAGTGTATTTTAATCAACTTCTGCAGTTTGTAAGCTAATTTTTTAAACAATTTAAGGTATTGTGCAGCATCACACAATGTTAAAAAAGGGTTGACAATTTTCAGATTAGTCTGTTCCTATAATAGAATAAATCTGAAAAAATTTGATAGAATAAAACTGTGTTCTTTAGTCCCATTTCCAACCACCAGACTTCAAAATGCTCTTTTCTGTGTTTGCTTTCAGCACCGACTCTCCAGGCAGCCTTATTTCTGTCTCTGAGGTGGAGAAGCCAAAAGAGTGAAGAGGGGAATTGTCTAAAGCCATTGAAAAGAGTCTGACAAAATTCAGTGTCAAATTTGCTGAGCTTAATGATAAAGGCTGTCAGAGAAGTGGCAAGGGGGGCACAGGGATGGGACAGGTTCATGGATGTAGGATGTAGGCATGTAAGAGTTTGACTGACAGAAAGCCTCGGTTCTGTAATCCAGTTCCTGGCAAGAAACATTTTATATATCTAAAGCTTGTAATAGTTCCAAAACTCTTGAAACTATCTAATTAAATAGAAGCCATAGCTGTAGAAAACTGATTTATTTTATTTATTTTAGTTTAGTTATATAAGTTTATTTTCGTTTATTTCTATACTGTTGCCAAGGTTTAAGTAGTGAATATGGAGACATTTGTGGAAGCATGAAAGAATTCAGTCATGATCTTATTTTAAACATTTATTACTTTGAAGATGTAGTTCCTACGTTGTGTTCACCTAATGCAATTCACAGTGGACAGGGAGACATTTTGCCTGTACTATAATGGCTTCTGAAAAGTCAGATATCTTGGGCTGTTTTGCATCATTTTTATTTTATAATTAATCATTAACTGTTGCCCTTTATAAAATAAAAATCAGGCACAGCAGCTGAGCTATTTGCCTTTGAAAAGCTGTTATTATGCACACGGCATGCCTTTCTTCTTGTCACTAATAACATTACAAACATGTAAGGAAGGAAAATGCTGCAGTGACATAGTGTCATGTCCAGTACAAATGAAAGCGCCATAAACATTTGAAAAACATATGAGTAGAAAGGGCTTCATTGACAAATGCTTCCACTGTGCCATTACCAAGGATGATTCTGAATATGAAGTTTGCATACATGAATAGAGGCTTAGGAAGTGTTTCTGTATGATTGTCAAGCAGTGTTCTGAATCTGTTTCTCTTTACACATCATCTGTTTATAGTTGTCATATTTTTGTTCCTCAAAGAGTAGAGGAAGAAGTCATTAGCGGATACATTGTTGCAGCAAAACATTGTTGAGCCCCTAAGCATCTGCCCTAATGATGTCACTACCCACTTTGACCTAGTAAGGTTAAACACTACCACCCATAATGTTCATAAGGAGCTGATATAAGTTCTATCTCAGTTAACTGTTCTGACCCCATGAGAAATATTAGTATTTAAAATGTACAGGAGAGGCACTAGTGTGAAAATCATACAATATAATAACATACGAGCTCCCTCTGAAGTCAAGCCACAGTCCATTATGCTCAGAAGCTGTCTCCAGAGAAGGCTTGGAGTTGGGTGAAGAAAAGAGAACCTGAAATTCTCCTTAGGTTTACTATACAGATGAGTCTTTTGGAAACTAGAAAGAAAAATTCTGAGGTAGTCAGGGCAGAAAAAATTACTCAGAGAGGTCACTGGGTTTGGAAGCCTACATAAAGGGATATGTGAATGGGATGCTAGCGGCAAGGTACCGTGTGAGTTCTTAGGACTTGCTCCTTCCCTAAAGGCTTTTTCTGCTGTTCTCAAACTGGTGAGATATGGACACCTATCACACTAGCTCTCTTCTTGAATGCCAGGCAGAAGTGCTCCCCCTGCAGTATCTTTCATCTCCCCCAGGAGGCCCCTCTGCCCTCTTTGTCTTTAGCTGCTGCTGGTACTGGGAAAGTAGCCAAGCTGCTGTCACTCCTGGAGGTACATGAAAAGGAGCTGGGGAACCACAAAGGGTTGGTTTTTAGGTCCTTTCTTTGCTGTATGTTGGCATCGTATCTGTCTTCTCCTTGCTCGTCTGAACCCTAGTGCTGTATAACTTGCTTTTCTCAATTATTTCTTTTAGATAAAGGTGGAACACGAATGCTTGTGACCTGAGAGTAGCAGAAGGAACTCAAATACTTTGTTATTAATAGTCCATCTGCACACACACATACAAAATCCAAAAATCTATTTAATTTTAAAATGGCCTAGTCTGTGTCTTTGACTTTTTATGTTGTTAAATAAGATCAAAGTGTGATTGATAATCTGCAGATCCAGATCTAGGCTTCTGAACTATCCAACTGCATCTGCAGTCTTGTCATGAGAACACCCTGTCATCAAATGTCACATCTTTTCAAGATATGCTCACATATCTCTAAAGCTCTCTTTGGTAATTAAATGACTTTATCACCATTATAACAAATGCCACTCATAATGTTAATGAAATCATTAGGCTAGTGTTTCAACTGAAAGCTTAGCAGGGGATGTTAGTGTAGTTTGGATTCTGTTTTAAACTCTTTGCTTTTTTTTTTTTTTTTTTTTTTTTTTTTTGCCTTTTTTTTTTAATAGGAAGCCTAGTTTGAATATGGAATATGCAGACTTTCAGAATTCTTCTAGCATTTGAATATTGAATTTTTTAAAATATTTTTGAATATTTTTCCCCTGAAGTGGCCATTTTAGATTTTTTTGAAACATTTTTAGTACAAAAGTCTATCAAGATAGTGCATACAGAAGATGGATAGGGAGAACTACAGCATCAATACGTGTTGCTGGTTGTAAGCTTGACAGCTGTCAACTTACCTGTATGCATTTATCTTCTACTCTATTATTTATTCATCTGAAACACATTTGAAAATCAAACAGATGAAAGGCAATATAAGATAAATTAAGCCTATTTATTGCAACCAGAGATTAGAACTGAATAAAATGCCTGTAAGACCAGAACATCTAGCTTTTGATGGCTTCTTCCATACATGAAATGTTTCACTTAAAAGCATTACATGATCTGTTCAAGACTAGCTAGCATTTCTACTCCATAGCGTGTTTAGCTTATTCTTCTGAGTATGCACATAATAAATATTTTGTATTTTAAACTCTGAGTCTTTAAATGATTGAAGGAAGGAAAAGAGGAAGAAGGGAAGGAGAAAAAAAATACAATGCAGGTGAAGATATTTGTGCTTGGCAGCTGTGTCCTGCTACAAGTATGACTGAGGTCAAATAGTGATGAAGTTGTCTTATGTGTCCTGTTATGCTGAACTAGATCATAAAGTAAAACTAGTGGAGTTTAAAAGTTTCTATCTTCTTGTGTTGAAATTGTAATTGGCTTCAGTCAGCTTAGCTCAGGCCAACAGAAGTGTTTGAGGTATCCATATTTCTCAACTGCTATTTTGTTTTGAGCTGGAATATTGCCATTGCTGCTAGACGTTGCGTGAAGGATGATAAATTGACCTTTGTCTGAATGCCTTTATGTGATGAAGGGCTCTCACCAGTATGATTTGCATTCACCTTGCACTATTTTATCCCTATTAAATTGCAGTAAATGGATAGGGAAAACTGTGTAGACTTTTATTAATCCTAACAATGAAGGGCCCTGAATTGAAAATCAACATTAAGTGATTCAAGCTAGATTTCTTTTCAAACTGCTGGTTACCTGCAATTTCCTGTATTTGTTACCTCTATTTGTTTCCTGTATTTAATTAGCTTGTTTCTTTATGTAAGGAGTAAAATTTCACGTATGATCCAGGCAGTGTGAATTGGCTCTGTTCTCTGCCTTTCTGTTACCTACTACCACTTCACAGAGCATTGCAGTCTTAGAAATACATCTACAAGATCACCAGTAACTCTACAGACACTTGATGACTGGTTTTATTATAGATCTGGGTAAGTCAGTAGCTGTACTGCATGATCAGAGATCTTAAAACATAAGCCAGTTTTTCTATTTGAGTAAAAACATCAAGGAAGCCTTTAATGAGATGACCATAGGTTACAATGGCATTTTTTAAATTCAAGTTCTATGGCTGGAGTTCTCTATCAGGATATGGGAGCACTATGATATTTTTTTCGTTTCAGCATTTTGCACTTAGACCTTCAGAGCTTGAAAACCCTATCAGCAGTAAGTACATAAGGTGGAAAAAGTTGTCTCTCCCTGACTTTGTGAAGTCCACCCTGGGTTCTATAAAATATGTATTTATTGGAGCAGTAAGAGAGCTCTAGGGGATACATGAGAGACAGATCTGGGTTCCAGGCCCCACATCCTTCAATATTTAACTATACTGTACAGCAAAAAAAAAAAAAAAAAAAAACCAACCAAGCCCCTGACACATCTCTTTAAACCCAATTGTTAGAGATAATATTACCACCATGTTGTCCTTGACTTACCAAATCATTCCTGTTGTCAATGGGCAAAGTAACACAGCTACGCTGCTTTTGTTATCAACAGCTGCTCACAAGAAGCATGCTGTGATAACATTGCTTTGAGAGTCTTCGGTTGTTTTTAATATTTGTGAGAAGTCCTTTACTCAGATGCTTGCTTTTATGAACTTTCACTAAACAAATATTTTTCAATTCTTTTTCAGGATAGAATTGTTTCTGACTGCCCATTTTAGTGATGGCAAAACTCTGTAGACTGTTCTATCAAGGAAAAATGTATTTTGTTATAAGCTAAATTTGTTCTGTTGTGTTTTGTACTCACCTCACTTCTTTTTATCCCCTTTGCCAAATATGACAGAAATACATATATTCAGGGCTGGTATCAAGATTAGTGCAGTTTCTGGGTGCATCAGGATTCTTTGTATCATTTACCTCATTTCTGTAACTTACATGCTTTTTATGAAATGTAAGAAGAGACATGCTCTCAAACTGACTTCTATCTTTTTTTAGATCATAAATGTGTCTGGAGAGCTGTGTTCCTTATTCTACTGAAGATTTTAATATTCCTATTCCTACAACTTATATTTCAAGTGACGAGAAGATCTACTAGCATTCTCCAAATGTAAGTATTTCATAATGTAAGGCTTTTCCTGTCCTTTCGGGTTTCTATGGTACTGATGCTGCTTTAAGTTGTGTTTGTTATTAACCACATGATTTTTAATGGTTGAGGTTAGCATAAACAGCTTGAACCTTTCAAGCTATGTTTAGTAATAACTAGTAGTAAGAATCTGTAACTTCGAATACCTATTTTGTATAGGTATATTTAAAGAAATATAACTTCGTATAGGTCAGATTTTTCTCCAAAATCTGAACAAATGTATCCAATAAATGTAACCAATTTCTATTGATTCTCTGGTACTACATAAAGCACTGTTTCTTCAAAGAATCATAGAATCATTAAGGTTGGTAAGAATCTCTAAGATCATTTAGTCCAACCGTCAATCAACCACCAATATCACCCACTAATCCAAGTCCCTAAGTACCACATCTAAAAGTCTCTTGACACCTCCAGGGATGTTGAATCTGTAACCTCCATGGGCAGCCTCTTCCAACATCTGAACACTCTTTTGGAGAAGAATCCTAATATCCAACCAGAAACTTTCATGGCACAACTTAAGGCCATTCCCTCTCATCCTATCAATTTTTTTTAGAAGAAGATGATACTGAAAACCTCCTCATTGTAGATGCACAGATGTAAATAAATGGCAGATAGTAATTAAGCATACTTTGAAACAAAATACAGTTCAAACTGGTATTCATATTATTTTGTTGTGGTTGTTTAGAGCTTTTTCTTTCAAAAATGATCAGTATGCAAGGCCTTAATATGGCTTTAAAATGACATGATCTCAGTAGTGGTGCTCAGGAGTGAAAATTTGGAAAACAAAGTCCTATCAAAATGTGAAATGCTAAATTTTCAAACAATACATTCATCTAGTCTAGAGAATACGTTTGTCTCTGAAGTAGGAATCAAAATGGTTATTATTATTATTAAAATCTCATTCTAGTTTGGTTTGATGCAGACTATAGTTATGGAGTTTTAGAGATTTATTTTTTAGTACAAAAAAGAAATGAATGAAGTGGCTCTAAGATTGGGGTGGCTACTACCAGTAGAAATGGAAATACTGTCATCACAAACCAAGTAGCTATGATGCAGGAGAGAAAACTATATTTTTTATGTCAGTGAATCCTTTTCAAGCTAATGTATATGTACCCCCCTTTTGTGAAAAAAAACTTGTTTTCTTTGTGTTTTTTAAGAACTGAGTTTGAGTTGACAACAATGCAAATGGATTGAATATCTGGCTCAGATATCAGGATATGTGAAAGCAATGCTATTAATCTCCCTACTTCTTAGAGAATGTCACTCATCCATCATCAGCAATTTTTATGGTGTAAGATAGATGTTGTCATTTCAGTGATTGCATTAGCTTAGTTATTCTTCTGAACATTAGCCAAATTCATCACTTAGTTTGCTTAGGAAAATAGGTTAGGGACTACCTTTTGTAAGACATACCAGCAAAAACAATAGATGTTACATTTGATTTTGTTTATTAACTATCTGGACTGTCTATTTCTTCATGCAATTTGTGTTATGCTGATTCCAAAATTCTTTGCATTCTGCATGCCGAATATCCTGTGTTCAACACCTTACCTTGCCTGGACCACAGGTTTTTGCCCACCTTTAAACTGTGCCACTTTTCTTCCCTCCACCTGCAGTTTCCAGGCTAATATGTTTCTAGTATGGGGAAGGGCACAAGGATCAAATTTTCTCAGTGTGGGTATTGTAATGGTCACTGAAATTTACTATCCTTGTTATGCTAGGTGCAGTTTCCTTCAGTTCTGTGTCCATCCTTCCCCTTGCCGCAAAAGGAACAAGTATCTAGATGAACAACCTAATTTCTAGTGCAGTTTCAAAACAGACTACCTTAAGCTTCCTTCTTATAGATATGTGGAAGCATTGAAATAACATGGGCTTAAATAGAAAAAAAAAAACCTTGGGACGGGGCAGTCTTAAGAACCAGGATGGACCCCAGGGAAACAAGCCTCACCTAGCATCTTTATCAGGACCAATTTAAAAACCAAGAAAGGGAGGCCGCAAAAAAGAACACCTTGACTGTGTTTGGCTGCAACTGGCTTCACAGGCACCTGGCCTGAACAGTGCCCTTACGGATGCTCAGCATCTCAATGTAAGGGTCTAAGGAGGTGCTTCAGGGTTGTGCCTCTGGAAAGTAAAATCCTCTCCATCTGTCAGCAAGACCCAGCTGTTCCCAAGTCTGAAACTGCTTTGACACATTGATCTTGACTTTTAAAAGTCCTTCACTCACATTTGAGTTTCTCCATCTTTAAGATAGAGGTATCTAACAAGAACCCTCACTTACTTAACTGCCTCTCAAAGGTTTGAGATACTGTTAGATGATATGCATAGCATAAATTGAAGATGAAAAACACAAAAGAAATGCTAACTGCTGTAAATATTAGTCCACATGGGAATGAAATGATAGTAAATAGAGGATAAATGTCCCAGACATTTAATAGAGACACTGTGTGAAAAGTTTAATATCCTTAGAATGCTTCAGAAATAAGCTTTCAGTACTTCAGAGAGCTCTGGCTCTTTGTTTCATTTTTATCCCCTCAGTAGAAAGTGACAACAAGCTGAAGTATTATTCTAATAATCTTATACTTCTTGTTTATTGTTGCTTATAAATGGCTTCTGGATAAATGTTCATTGCTTTATTTATTTATTTATTTATTTATGTGATCACAGCTAATATATATCACGACTCTATAGATACACTAAACTAGATGACCCATTTAAAAGTTTTGAAGACAATCTGAAAAGGCATAATATGCTGAAAAGTAGCATATATACTGTATACAACTAAAGGAAATCTCTTTTTCTTTTGGAGGAGAATGGCAAAATAATAAATAGTGACTGGTGACATTTCCCCATGCTACCATGTATTTGTAGCACAGTTATTTAAAGGCTGTATTGGCCATATTCATTCATCTTTCCTCTTGGGTCAATTATGCTGTTCGCATTCAAATCAATCCCTTAATCAAGCCCATTGATAATTGCAGCAGTGCAAGGGAGATATTTATCATAGAGATGTAATGAAGGCACTTTGTTTCATTGCATCAGGGTTTAATGTAGTGCTGCCACAGTGGGCCATTTATGCATATGCATGTAGTTTATTTTCCTAATCAACAGTCTCAGATGCAAGTATGTTCGTGTCCCACTGATGGGGTTAGAGGGACATGATACTGGCCTACCAATAGCTCCAGGATTTTCCACGTAGTCTCTTGGCATTGCTAACTACAGGAAGTTTCAGTACCTATTCTTGTCTAAAGGTTATATTGACAATGATTTCAGAAACAGTCTTAATTCCAGAAAAGCTGCTTCTCACTCTGAGGGATGCTTTGGGTAAAGGTGCTAGTGAGAAAGTTGTATGCACGATGATGTGAGAATGTAAGGGACAGGGTTTTATGAGGAAATAAAATATCTCCTGGTAGAATGAAATACATAGCTAGGAAAAGCCCAGTCATACGATCCGGACCACTAATACAATTCCAATTTGAAACAAAAATATCAAGATGTAATCTGAAGATAGGACTCTGGTATTCCCACCATTTTACATGAGAGATGAACTTGGGTTTTTTCTTTTTGGCAAGGTCATTGCAAAACTTTGATTTCCTTGTTTGTTTTTAGTTATAAACACATTTGTAATAGTTAGCTATTGAGTAACTTGTTATGAAATTCTAACAAAAATGTGGTTTTAATTGACGTTGAGCAACAAAAACCTGTTGCTTTAATAAAATTCAGGTGATTTGGATGTAATGAGCTGAAACAGGTGGAGCCACAAAGCCAACATGCCTTTGCTGACTTCTGACTCCTTCAGTTCTCTTTGCAGTGTGTGTTACATCCAATGCAGAAGGCTAGGTCCAGGGGGTTAAAGACAGAGCCCATGCATCTTTTGTGACAGCTCTCTCCCAGTTTGCTGACTGAACAGTGCAGTGCAAGAAAAGGATGAGGAGGAAGGTGCCTTTCTCTCAGTCTCAGCTGAATGAGAGCAGTAACTCTTGCCTTCAGGCTGCACACATAATGAGGCTAAAATGTCTTCCAGTTTGCAGTGCTCATCTTTTCCTCTCGCTTCTTATATAAAAGGTCTGGTTAAACAGGGCTTGCCTTGGTTGTATCCTCTAGCAGTCAGCAAAGTGTACATAACCAGTAAATTTATGTTTCTTTTAAGGAAATTCGGCAATGTTCTCTGGTATTTTAGCTGCTAGATAATGGCATTATGTACCCAGATTCCTTAGTGTCCTTTCAAAATATCCACGAGCAGCTTTAATACAGAACATTTTACACTCTTTTGTACATGAAGGTTAATTGTAATTAAAAATCTTCATTTTAGACAAATACAGTACTGTGGGAAAAAAGACATTTTCATTGTAGAAAAACATGTAGCTCAATTCTAGAAATATGGTACCATTCTTCAAAATAATGTTGTTGTGTAACATCAGAACAAGCTTAAATGGATGAGATGAACCTGAGCTTAAAGGTATTAATTCCAAAGAAATGAATGTTGAAACAATTTATTTCATCAGAAATTCAACTCAGAAATGCTCTGTAACTGCCTCAATTTCAATTTCACTTTTTATTTCAACTCACCAGGTTTCATATCCCCCACCCTCACCCCCCATCTTCTCTGGGATCCTGCACAATCTAAAAAAATATCCATTTTATTGCCCTGATAATGGTATTATTTGAGACTACCAATTGGTTGGGAGAAGCTCAAGTAAAATTTTAAGTGCTGAAGCTTCAAAACAATTGTTAAAACATTGCAAAGAAAAGGCTCCTTGCTTGTTCTATTTCAGACTAAAGCTGAAATTCTGCTTATTTTAGATTTTACTGGCACTTTTCTGGATTTAGGTTTACATGAGTAGCCCAAATTTAAAAATGTTCTCAAATTAGAGATACGTACAGGATTTCTGCTGAGGCTAGTTCAAATAAAGGGGATGATTAACCTGCTGATGTGTATTTTCTGGGGAACAGACAACAGAAACAAATTACTCTGACAACTTTTTATGACAATTACAATATCAAGTAAAAAACCTAGACATTGATGTGACAATTGAGTCTGAATTTTCTGATCAACCAGGACAACTCCCTATTGTATTAATGGCAGATTTTTCCCTAGTTCTTGGCAGTAAACCAAATAGTGAGAAATGTTATATTACTAGCAAAGAACAAAGACAAGAACTGTTGGTGGGACCACAGTGTCTCAGCTACAACCTAGTGACCTAATACCAGCAAGTTTGTTAAATGGACCACAAACCAACTCTGATAAACAGGTTGGAATTGCCTGCTGCCTTAAATTTAAATCTAAACCTATGTTCTATAGAACTACCAGAGGAAAAAAAATAATTGCCTATAGTAACTCTCCCTGTAGAGCCAAATACACTTAGCACATCTGCCAGCAGAATTCAAAAGCAGTGTGGAGATTTTTTTTGGTTCAGGTGAACAGAATCATCATGTTCAGCTTCCTCAGAGTTGCTCCTTGGTCCCCCTCACGCGCTTTCCAGTCATTGCCATGTTCCTGCAGTCCTTTCCTCCTGAGTGTCTTAGCAACGTAGTACAGCTGGGGCATTATGGGACAGATATGCCTACATTAGATAGAGATATGAAATGCTCGGTGATTTAATAAGAGATGACTCTTATCGTGGCTCATTAATTTAGAGTTGGGTGTTTTGTGAACACATCTCCCATATTCCACACTGCTTAGATCTCGCTTCCATACTGCTGTGAAAGCCTTTGTAAAGTATCTTCTATTACTGAAATTAATGCCCAGTTAGCTAAAAAAGAATATGCATGTGTCACTCATGCTCAAATCTGTGGAATTTTTCTAAATGCTGTGAGCTACATTAATGTCAATTTAATTCATAAATTGTTTGGCCAGGAGTTCAGTTCTCGTGTCAGAAATCGCAAGAAGTATTGAAGTCAGGGAGAACTGTGCACTTGACAACACATTTGGATTTCTGGTGGCACTACTTTAGGAGAATAAAATTTCACTTTCAGATGGATAATCAGGCGTATTTCAAATATTGGTGAGTTAAAATCACAATTGTTCTTCAGAGTATCCATTCTTAATATTGTTGGGCAGAGAAAATAACTGGGAGTCATTAGTTCCTACTGAACGCCAGGATTTTGTAATGTCAACATGTAATGCATTAGTGGATATTACACAGAAGGCATTGGGAATAATAAAGTTGGTTGAAGTAACTATTGACCTCCCTTTACTGTGACAGTCCAAGAATAATTTGAGATACTTTGATTTCTGAGCTGTGGTCACAGGCTGTTTATACAGAGTAAATAACCATACCTCCAAATGCTCCTTGGTTGCAGAAAGGAAATCAGGACAGAAGACAGCAGCATATAGTCTGGTGCTCAGCAAAACATAAACCATGTCGCAGCATAGCAGGGGAAGGCTTCAGTGGACTCAAATGCAAGACCTCTTGCTGCCTAAGGTGGGTGACACGAAACAGCCAGATCACAATGATAACTAGTGTGAGAATATTTTAAAAATACATATATATAGACTGTGATTTTTGAGACCTGTGGCACTCAGCTGTCTAGAGACAGCTCTCAAGAAGCCTAAAATTATCTCAATCGCAGATTGATGGCTCTGAGTGGAACCGTGATACTTGATGCCTCTGAATGGAGCCTAGCACTGTAAATGGGACTGATGGAGACAGGGGATACCTGTGGAATAACAATCATTTTTCATGTTCTGGTACCAGTACACTACAAAACGACAGCTGATTGACCAGCTTTTTTTCGTTCTAATATACTTGGCTTGTTACCAATATTGAAAAGGAACGTGAAGTATTATAAATGGTGGAAAAATGTGTATACTAGTTTCAGTTCACACTTCTGATACAGATAATGAGAACAGAACTAATAATAGCAGAATGCATGAGCTTAATATTCTCCTATTATGTTAATCGCCTCTCACATTTTCATGGGCCATAAATCAAGTGTTTTCTGCACCTTTCAGACAACAATGTACGAAGCTGAACAAAACCATGGGGACTGTAAGAATTTAAAAAGAGGTTATCTGATACCATTAATAGTCTACCCACTTCACAGTAATTTCTTGTTTATAAAAACTCACCTACTGTCTTTTTTTCCACGAGAATTAACAGTTTTAGCTTATCCTGTCAACCATCAGTAGAATAAACCAATTTTCACAGTACAAAACAGGTTAAGAATGTAAGTAGGTTGAAACTACAGAAGTTTAAGTAACTGACTTTGAAGCTACCTAATTACTGATAACAATAATGCACTGTGATTTTCAATTCAAGAAAATGTAGTGATCAAATTTAGGGGGAATAGTCTCTTTAAGAAACATCTCAGGCTGTTGTCTTCAGTTAGTTGTTGATGCTTAATCCAGGATGAATTTTGACTTCATACGTTAGAACACCTTAGTACATACTGTCTCATCAGTTATTCATTTTCTGCCTAGAATTAAAATCTGCCCATGCTGTAACTGCTGCATGCTCTTTTGCAAAGAGATCATTATCAGAAAGGAGCACTGAGCACCCAAACAAGTGCAAGAGCGCTGATGTGCCAAGGGCGGAGGAGCCTGGTCAGAAGCAAAGCTTAGGACCTTTGTCACGCAATTACGCTTCAAATGGAAATGAGTGCCTCCAAAGAGATGCACATATTACAGACATTTTGTTAGGGTGAAATGGAGATTAGCTGAATGCATGAAGGAAATACCATATCCTAATTTGAATTCAAAGATCTTTGCTTTGTGAAATCTGTCAGCCGCACTCTTTGAGAAACTGGGAGAGCAGAAGAGAAATCTCACTATATACTTGATCTAAGTTCCTACACTTCTCTGGGTAGACTTCCCTGTGATTTAGAATGGTTTTTCTCAGATCTGCAGAAAGAGTGGTGTCTCTCCTGTCCAAACCCCTTTCTGATCTCCTAGATGCTTTTGGAATCTGAGAAAGCAAGTCTTCCACTTCACCTCCCCGTTAAGTGACATTTACTTTAGTTAGCTTGAAGCAAGTTAACATCAATAGATTTTTGGTTAATAAGCTTCATTGTACTTCTTTATGATGTTACCACTCTTAAGATATTTATGCACCTGCATTTGGTCAAAGCCCTGAAGTCTTCTGTTTCAAGGTAATAATACAGCATTAGTTTCAAAGCCAAGTTCTTCACTGTTTTAGAAGAAACACTTTAAGTCATATTTTTCCAAGAAAGAAATGAACTCATCACTCTGTGGCTAATAGTGTAGGTCACATTTCAATCAAAATCCTGCTACTATTGCTTTAAAATGACACAATTTGTAAAATTGCATTTGAATTGAACCTTTGATTTTGGAGTGTTCATCATTTCTCCTGGCACAAACAGAAGGAACATGAGGGGAGTAGGAAAAGTTTCACTGATGGAATGTGTAAACGTGTAGTAGTTTTAGAGACAAACCATTAAATATCTTGACTTCTTATTTTTTTTCGAGGAGACCTTTGGTATGGTTAAGGAAAGCCTGGTACTGAGATGTTTCTTAGCTCTGTTTCCAGAAGTTAGACCTAACAGCAATATTTCTTCTCAGGTTTGTGGTCCCTTTAGCACCCAGAAGCTTACAGGAACAGAGGTTACATGTCCCAGCCCAGCCATGATGTTGATGATGGCTGGTGCTTTCTCCAACATATGGTTTTCTCTGAGCAAGTGCTAATGTAGAGCAACCAGCTCACTCTGAAATCAAGGTTTCACATATTGCATTTCTGTTTATTCCTGGGGAAAAATCCTTTCTATTTACCTGAGGTATTAGTTACTTCCCTTATTTCTAGAAGGGTTATTACAGTACCCGTCAGTAAATGTTAACCATCAGAAATAATTAATATCAAGCCCAAGAGAGCACCTGGGGAAAATGAACTCATGAAATGTTTCTGGCTAAAGACCTTCCATGGATAAGGAACAGGAAATAAGCTACTCATGCTACAGCAGTCATGGGTCATTTTTTGTTTTAGGAAATTGCTATAAGGTTATTATATCTTTGAGATGATTCTTGGATGGCATTTTTGTTTCTCAGTGCAACAAATCAGCATTTCAGAAATGCTCACTAAGTAATCTTTGTCAATGGCAAATATAACCTAACACATTCAAATGAAATAATCCAATTTTTCAGTGCTTACCATTTCCAAATAATCTAGCAATAGGAATATTACTAGGAAATGTTCACCAACAGAGATGAAAAAGTTAGACTACTTTTAAAATAAAATTAATTCGTATCAAATATGATGTTACATGTTCAATGGACATATTTCTGTATTGACTCTCGAGGAAATCACATAAAGCTGTGGCCAGACAATGTGATGTCTCCTGTAAGGAATTTCTCCTTGCTGTGGAAAATCTGTTTTGATTGAACAGTGAAACATCTCCAGAGAAGCCATTAGATGAGTTCACCCAGAGGGGAACAATACAGGGCCTCCTGGTGTTCTGAATCTTAAGCCCTACTGTAACCTGTGGCAGAACAAGGGCACTCACCACCATGCTGAGAGCCAGGGTAATGTGCCACTGGGGCACCTGGGGTTGGGCAGCAGGGAACTGCTTGACTGCATCTGCAGTCAGCCAAGGAGTTTGTGCTCTGCATCTGTCCATGATGCGTAGTCATGATTCAGTGGCATTGTATGAATAAGGTCCAGGGACTCCAGAAGAGATCACATAATTTTATAATGGAAGCCTCTTGTGCCTTGTAGATGCACATACATCTAGGCATAGGTGCTGACATGGTCCTGAAGAGTTGTTTGATACATTCAGATGAAAGCAGGCTTAAAGATAAATGGTCATACATAAAGTTGCTCTCCCCTACGTAGTATTGTCTATTTATTCTGCAGTTTTGACTTGATATTGAAACTTACAACAAACTCAGTGGTGCCATTGCAACACACACACACTGAACTCTATTTTTATGTAGGATATAATTCTTTTTGCATTAGCTCTGTGCAGTTGTTACATAGGGAAAAATACTGTCTAGGATAACAATATATAGATATTAGATATAGATATAGATAAGATATAGATATAGATATAGGGATAGAAATTGGAATTTCTCTAACTTAGCAAGCCTAGATCTGGTTCATTCAGCAATACAGCAGGAGAATACTTTTAAGGGAGGTCTTGTACAGATATTTGAGACATCTCCATCTGCATGCAGTAGAGGTGTGGTCAGCATTATAAGGTGCCTGACTGGAAAAATTGCATTTCTATTCTTGGTTATTTCCATTTCTTTGAAGTCACTGTCAGTGCAGCAAAAAGAGGTTACTTCCACTGCAATATATAGAATGGCTGGAGTGTGAGGGTACTTGAAGCCACAAAATCTTACTATTCTTATTTCTAGCAAACCCATTATCTTGAAGGGGAATTAAGGATAGATAACAGAAAACAACGCAGGCATAGTCTCTTCTGCTGAGACTGGATTAACAAGAAAAATAGACTTCTTTGCTTTAGAGAATGTCAGTTTCTTCATCAGTCCAACAGAAAAAACCAAGATCCTGAGGAAAAACTTGTTTTTTGCTCTCCTTATCCCACTTCTGCAGCACTGATGGAAGTAGCTCTGCCATCTCTGCATAGCAGTGATGCCAAGAAGTTTCAGTGAAATCACAGCACCAAACATGCAGACAAGCCATTTATTTATCCACTCGCTCTTAGAGAAACACGATTAATAGCATGAAAAAAATAAATGGGCAACTCTTTAGGGAACCCAGATATGATGATACTGTGAGGATGTGCTTTTGCTTAGTCTGAATCCTTGCCTGTACAAATATTAGCTTATTTTCAGTAGATATGTTTCTGTAAAGTGTAAATGTCTAAAACCCTTTTTGACTAAAACTATGGGATTGCAAGTTTGCAAAAATCTTTTTACGTTCTGAAACTATGTGTTCTGGTAGATTTTGCTTCAATTTTTATTTTTGCTGCCAGTATTTCACTGAAAAAATCCAAGCGCCCAGGGATGTCCTTGGTTGTTGAGTGCTGAGATCAGCAGTGGAGTGGTATTTCCTGTTAGATTGCCCTCCTGGTTCACTGAGGCACCCACAACTGGGATCTGAAAGCTGCAGGGGCTACACCTGCTTTCATTTTACCAGCTTTAAAGTAATAGCGTAGGCCTAATTTTATCTGAAGGGGAGATTTTCCGAACAGCAGTATGAGAATAAGTATGGATGAGATAGCAGAAAGCAGGAGGATCTGATAACCTTCGGGTAGGTACTACCACAGCTACTCTGTTACTTGTTTTTTTTAAAGATGTGAGTATAAGTGGTAGTCATGAAAGTGAAGAACAGTGATCAAAACTCCTGTTAGTGAGGATGGGGTCAGGAGCTTGCCTGTGCACCCTCCAGGTAGGACCAGGGCCCAAAGATGGCCTGTGTGTTCTGTGATAGCTCAAATAAACTAAGCCTTGCTTGAGCCATATCTCCAAAGGCCTGATGTACTGGTTAGCACAGGGGCACCGTGGCAAGAAACCCAGGTGTGGGTTACCATTGCATGGTGTGGCGAAGCTGGAGAGCTGGCAGAAGAGCAGCAGACCTGGGAGATGGCAGCCCAGCTCACACCCGCTCTGAGCCAGTCAGCCACAGTCTGTCTGTGCCCAGAAAAATCCCTTGGCTGCTAAGTTTCTTTGGAGCAACAGTGACATCTTGTGGGTTAATTTTAACTGTGCTCTAAATGGAAATGGTTTCCATCGCCTCTGCTTAAGCAGAAACTCATCAGTCTGAATTCAAGTGGCATCCTCAGCCATCTGTTCAGCACATCGCTAGGCCTGACAGCAAAGCAACTGATGGATGGCAGAGGTGCTCATAAAGTACTATGCCAAGGGCTTGCTAGGAAATTCAGTTAGCAGGATCATATTATTTGGAAATAGCAATTTAATTGGAAACTAACTTATAAGTGGATATCACACATATTTCATTATGAGGACACATAAAAAGCTTAGTTCCACATGGACAAGAGGAGACTAAAGAATGTGTTAACAATGTTTTTGAAGATAATTATAACCTGGATTTAATTTGAAAGAATGAAGTTGCTTCAGTCTCCAGTCTCATCATGGTAACACTTCTATTCTGGTTTTCATTGCTGAGCATAACTTCTGCTACTGTGCTTTGCAATATGCACCAGTCTGATTGTAGGGCTTTATGTGATTCAGACCTATTTTTGTTATCCTGGCACATTGAATTGTTGCTCCAGTGGATTTTTCATTCCCAACAGGACTTCAGTTATTCTCTGATTCCCACAGGGTTTGAATGAGTCCTATTGTAATTTGCATTTGTAGACTTCCAAGCAGTAAGCATTCTAGCATCTATGTTCTGTCACATCCTTTCCAATGGCACTCAGCTCCTGCTTGCCTTGTGAAAAAGATTGATGCTTTGTATAACACTCTGTATGACATTCAATTATGCTGATCTCCACATTTAAAAAAAAAAGTAATCAAAAAAAGAGCAATCAGCTATTAATTAACTGTCCGGTGCACAGGACTCATGCTGATAGTATTGGCTCCCCTGTTACGATTTTATTCATCCAGAAGAAAACATGCCATAATTGATATCAAAAATTCATTTCAAAATGATACTGCCAGCTTAAAAAAATGGAAATTATCCTTCCAGTTCATTAATATTTTTATTAGAACAGTTTCAAGTAACAAAGTCTGGATTTCTTTAAACTACATATTTCCAGCAAACTGGATGATAACATCTTCGTATGTATAGCAGCACATGTTTGTGCATGTCACTGGAATGACTGCCTAAGGAAGCTGTGAAATCTCTGTTATTGAATATACTTTCAGCATACTTGGGCAATATTGAAGAGTAGACAAGGCATCTAAGGAGGGACCTCCTGAGCTGATATTGAGGTCCTTCACACTTTTTTCTTCTTACAATGTGCCTATATATACATGAGCATGTCCATGTTCTCTGAACATACAAAGAAACATAACATTTCTTTCCAATGAAGTTTGGAAAATGAATTTTAACAGCACACATCTCTTGATGACCTCCTCTTCTTCATTTCCTTGCATCATCCTTATTTTAAAATTCAGATCCATAATTCCCTGATGAGACATTTTCACAGGCTGGGAACCATCCAGAACACGGTGACAAGTAGGTAGGCAACACTTAAAATGAACTGGAGGGGTGAAAACACAAGTATTTTTTCTCTAAACCGTTTCCACATGACTATTATGTTATAGTGTCACAGGATTAACAACTAGAAGCAGCTTCTGATAGGAAATATGATTTTTGAAGTAATGTTGCATGTTAAAAAGATGCTTACAGGCAGTATTTTGGAACGTACGAGCTATCATCGAAGTGGGTGTTCATATACTGCAGATGCCATGCTTGGGTTGCTTAAATTCACAGCAGTGAAGTTTCCTTATCAACTACTCCCTGGCCATGAATGTGAGGCTTTCCCTTGTGCACCTCCCTAAAGGAACCAAAACCTCATACCAAAAGGTTTCTGCAGGGCTGACTTTCAGAATCATCACGCCTCACCTTCTTTGTAAAAGCAGTAACATCTATGAGGATTCTTGTGTTGGAATCAAAGCTTTAAAAGTGAATAATCATGAGAGAGAGCCCGCAACCCAATAATCTACTGATCTTCTAAAGTGGTAATTCATCACAGTGCCATCTAGTTAGAAACGTTATAAATCATGTACCTTCCCAGTACCTATAACTATGTTTATAGAAGAGGGGTGGGTTTTAATCTATTAAAGAGAAATTAAGGGAGATAACAGTCCGGCAATCTATCAGTTTCAGAACTATATTCTCCTGGGCATTAACCATCAAGTAATTAAATAATGTATGTGCAGTTTGTCATTGCTATAATACTTTTTTTTTTTGGTTCAATTGATATTTCCCTTTCATAAATTGTTGAAGATTATAATTTCCGTTCTTTTGGTGATTTGTGCACATTAACAGGACAAGGCAATGCATGTCAGAGCAAAATATACTGCTACGTTATCATTTAGCATTTATTCTGTTTTCTTTGAAGGAAAACGATTTTTACCATGATTTATTTTGCAGAATAACTCAACTATTCTTTTTGTTGTTTGTTTGTTTTCCAGGTTCTTCTGGCCTTGGTATTTTTTATCTAGTGGTTTTCCTATCTGAACTTTTGCATGCTTACTAAATCAAAGGATGGAGGAAAGACGTTGTCCAATGTACTTGAAACGTATCTTGCAGGTTGGTTCAGCTGGGAAGGGGTATTGGCCAAGTCAGACTTTCCCTATGCTTGGGATTTGTGCCTGAGACTTTGATCTTTTAGTGATTTCTAATAACCTGGAAGAGAAATGGAGAATTCAAAGAAAATTTTTCGAATTCTCTGTAATTCAGAGAAGTCCTGAATTTGGGAGTTTTTGCAGTTACAATATTGTGATTTGAGCTACTTTCAAGGACATACATTTTCTTCAGTAAATCTCACACTCTCAGTAACCTTCCCAAGTTCAAACCACCTGAAATGTATTGTGCTGAGACACCTTTTACATGTTTTGCTCTGGAATTCAGGTAACTTTGGGATAGCTGAGGAAAAAAAATACCTACACTGAAAATGCTGTATGTTAAAATATCACCTGATACTAAAAAAAAAAAAAAAAAAAAAAAAAAAAAAAAAAAAAAAAGACAAAAAAGACTGACAGTTATGTCCTGGAGACCTTCTTAAAACTCCTTAATAATATGTCTTATTTTCAAGTAGTGTGAAGTGCTTGACAGCTCATGAAGAATGACATTTAACAAAACAGCCTCTACTCATCAGTAGAGAATTGGTGAATTTTTGCAACACAAATAGTGATTGCTTCTAACTACAGACTTTGAGAAACTAGAAAAAGACACTCTTTTCATGTCATTTTCTTAAACGTAACATTGATTTTAAACTTTAGATAAGAAACTGAGTGACAAGATTTTTCTATCACAAACTTAAAGGTGCTTTATTCTTTTATTATTTTATTAGAGGCAGTTCTAAAGTGCTTTCCTTCCCAAATGCCTGCTCTGCCAAGAAGACAGTAGCATCTGTTTTCTGTAATGGAAGTTCAAAAACTTAACTGAAAACATGAGAAATCCTTGAACACAATATGCACACCAAGATGGGCTAAATAAAAATAAATTAATAAATGCTATTTTAAAAAAAAGAGGAAAATTACATTCCTTCCAATAATTTTTATCCTTCCAATTTTTATGTCTCCAGATATAAAATCTGGAGAATTATTTTTCAGCATAATAATGCCCACAGTTTTTTGTTAGAAGAAAACATCTGCAATTTTATGGTGTTCAAAAGGGAAAAAGTTTATCTAGTAGATAGATTTTGGGGAGGTAAAGTTGAGGTTTTGGTATTTTTTTTGTTTTTCAACAAAGCTATGCTATTTAAATTATGGAAAGAATGAGGAATCACTCTGTATTTTTCCATGTGTGCCAGCTGGTATCTGTTTCAGAGAGGGGAGTGGAAAAGATGTTTCTTTAGTCTAGCATTGACTGCAGTATTATAAATTGAAAGAAATACAGCCTCATTATAGCCATGAATGAGAGCAGACATTTACTGTACCTGTGAATGGTGGGTGTTCTCTCACTAACAGAAACAAGTGGCAATTTTTTCACAGTTGTCTCATCATCTTTTTTTGAAAGTGCTTTCTTGGGAAATTAAAAGTGAAAAGTAGTCTAGATTGATGCATCTGTGGCATTTACAATAGAAAAGACACTGAGTGGGACAAATCCTGCATACTACCCTGGTGAATTATTCCTCTGTAGCTTGGACATATAAAAATGACAAGAAGGTCTTGCTGCAAAAACACCTGCTTCTTGCACCATTTCCTCTTCTAGCAAGGCAGCGGGTGTAGGCTCTCATAGTGTAGGTAGATCCCAGAAATGGCTTCCATTAGAAGGAGTAGTGTCCTTACTTCCAATTGTTTTCTTTGTTTTCATTTTAAATAGAAAAATAACCCCAAAACAATAGTAATTCTTTCCTCATGAGCTGATGGTCTTCAAAACTGAAAACTGCTTGTTTACTCCTCTTTATTTCTAGCAGGTAAAAAGTACTATGATACACTAGCACATTTACAGACAGTATTTCCAGTCTGAAGAGTTGTTGCTGAGGGGGATTAATTTTGCTTATGGGAAAAGCAGAAGCAATCTAAAGACATACAGCACACAAGGTCTCTTGAGTGCATTCTCAGCCATCCCACATAGGTGGTGGTACCACGGGGGTTAAGGGTGCTGCTGGTTTGTGAGGCAAGATGAAGATCACTACCCCCATGGTCCATGGACAGTCCTGGAGGTTTAGGTGTACAGTTTGACTAGCGGGGCAGAACTCAGAAGAAACAATGAAGATATATGACAGTGATGGCTAGAAAAACAATAGTTGTCGTTAGCTTATTTATATTTTGTGGAAAAGGAATCTGAATCAAGACTATTAGCTGGAAAAGGTTAAGAAGAATTGTGAGAGATCAAGACATTTAGGAGAGAGACAGGAATTATGGACTTTTTAGTAAATTAATTTTTGTAAATAATCAGCTTTCTGGGAAGAAAACATGAAATGCTTATACAGAGCATGCTCTATGGCTTGCTAGCTGAAGAACACAACAGAGATATAAAATATAACTTGCGTCAATCAAACCTGTGGTGATGTTGATGCTGTGTTACTGGTTTAAAGACATAAAGGAAATGGTGAAGTGCTAATATGGCAGATTCTTTTTCACATGCAGTTTGGTGCCCTGCATTCAGTGACCTCAGATAAAAGACACTGCTTTGATTTATGCAAGCCTTTCAAATAATGAGGATCAGGCAATATTTCTGATACTTGTGATAACTTGTTGGAATTGTCCACAGACTTTTATTTTTTGTCCCTTCATCTTCACAGATTTCAAATGTCTATTGAAGCTGAAGTGTTAGTCCAGAGGAGGACCACTAAGATGATCAAAGGGCTGGAGCACCTCTCTTACAAGGAAAGGTTTAGGGAACTGGGCTTGTTTAGCTTGGAGAGGAGAAGACTCTGGGGATCCCTCATTTTGGCCTTCCAGTATTTGAGAGGAGAATATAAACAGGAGGGAGAATGGCTGTTTAATAGGGTGGACAGTGAAAAGACAAGGGAGAATGGTTTTGAACTAAGACTGGAGGCTTAGGTTAGACATTAGGAGGAAGGTTTTCAACCCAGGTTATTCTAGGATTCTATGATACGATTCTATGATTATGCTAGAGGTAGCATTTCACTGAGAGTCTAATGTGAGCTAGAGTCTTAACAAGCAAAATATCTATCACTAAATTCATGTCCAATATATTTCCTTTCATAAACTTCACATACAATATGAACTTAGATCAACGTCTTTAAACTTCTGTACTTGCAGAGAAGGCAGACAGAAATGATTATCTATGCAGTTTATTTGAAAAGGATAGAATAATTCTTATTGACTTTTCTCCTCTTTATTCTCATTGCTCATTCCTCATTTAAGGGGCAGTAAGAAAGTGACAAATTTGTTCTCATCTTCAAGCAGTTTGTAAGAGTTCATTAGATGCAGGTACGATGGGCTGAAGTCCTAAAAACTGATCACTTCCATTTCTGAATCCCTTTGCTAAATCTAAGTGCAGGAAGTTTATGTTTTGAAATCTGATCAAAGATCATCACTTAATCCAGCTTCATTTGCTCATCTCACAGAATTTGGGTTGTGGATTATGATGACTTCAGAGCTCAAAACCTCCTATATTTACTATGATTTGTCTACAAGTTTCTCTTCAGAGTCTGAGCTCTGCTGACAGGGACCCTGAGCAGTGTCAACAGAGTGAAGCAACAGAGTAAAACTTGTTTTTGTGAATACTAAGCTGTCATGGTTCCAGCCTGGTCCAGCCCAGTTCTGTGGGTTAAGGGGGCAGAGGGACCCACAACCCAGGAAAGGGGGAAGGAGGAAGACAGGGAGATGGGCCTCATCAGAAAAAAAAACGTGGAATGAGCAAGGGAAGGTCCCCCCCCCGACTCCGTCTCCATTTTGAGCCTTCAAACCATCGCCTCCGACCTCCAGAAATTCGATTCCGTCGAACATTTGCTCGGCCTTTCGGATGCCAGCAGCCTCCAAGGGGAGGAGATGGAAGAAACAACGGCCAGGTGCGGTGGAAACGGACGATTCCGGCATCACCGAAGTATCAGCCTTTAATTCCACGCTCTTCCTCTGCCTTTTTTCTTGGTTTTTGTTTTGTTTTGTTGTTTTGTTTTGTTTTTAATTAGCTTTTTAAAAAACTAATTTATTAAATATGATAGCGGAATGTGAAATAATATAATACAATTCAATTGGAATTGAAGCAGAAAAACAGAGCAGTCTTGTGACTCCCAAAGTTTTATCTTTCTCTCTAAATGAAAAACAGAAAAGGAATAATGAAGTCTTCTGGGAGCTGTAGTTCATCTCTTCTCTTCTGAGACAGGCACCCAGAACTATTGGCAATCCATGGAACTGTAGCATTAACTCTATCTCCCAGTGCACTACATGATGTTAAGATGTGGAATACCAATAACAGAAATCACAAAACCACAACATAAGTAATTGCTGGTCACCATACTAGTACACATAAAAAGGAAGAACTAGAAAAGCTGAAAGAACAGAAGCAGTGAAAATCCCCAAGCAGTGGTACCTATGAAGCATGAGGAGCTTTGAGTAGGACAATGAGGGCACTGGAGTTTCTGGGCTGAGTTTCAGAGATCAAACCAAGCTACTGCACTGCGGACCCACTGTAGCTGCAGCTCCCTCCCAAGTACCCCACGCAGTGTGTGATCCACAGCTGAGCATCTAATAGTGCATGGTAAGAGTCCCAGAAAATGGGTTATGTGTATTGTTTCACTAACGACATCAGTTTGATTTACTCCTTACAGAAAAGCACAAGAAGTAGATCTCTATCTTCGCTGAATCCAGTGGCAAAATATTCATTCGCCTCATTGTGAGCAGCAGCAACTCCTTTTTCTTCAGACACTGAATCATGCTACAAGAACGAGCAGCGCTGTAGCTGATCTATGCTATGGAGAAAGTCATTCCAATTTCTGGGGTAAGTACCTTAGCCCTCTTTTGTGAGAGGCTGAGTGATGCTGCCTGTCAGGAGCAGGCCCCCATTAAGCACTCTCAGTGCTGGTACGAGCCCTGAGTCTGTTTCAGTGTCAGTACCTTGTGTAATGCATTGCCTCATGCTGCTGCTTCGACTAAGTAATGCATTATGTATATCTTGAGGTATAGTGGTTAGTGTAATATTTATGCATGTAGGTATCTGTGAGAGTCACCTTGAGTACAGCGCAGCCTGCAAAGAGCAGATAAACAGCATTAGTGCCTGCAATGAGTGCGGCACACTCATGGGTACTTTACTTCAATCCAGCATCTAGACTTGATGTAGAAAAGGTATAAATGGTGTAAGTTCACTCATTCTAATGATTCCTCCAGTAAGAAATAAAATGTAATGAGAGATCTCATCTAAAATGCATGCTTTTAAACTTAGCATCAATAACTATGCTAGCAGCATGATTGTGAGTGAGAATGAGTCAAACTCTTCTCATCAGCTAGGAGGAAGCCAGAAGAATGATAAAATGGCAGGCAACACCAGTGCTGATAAATGGTGCTCTCACATAATGAGTGCTGTGTGCAGTTCCTGTCTTCCAGCTTTACCGTTTTGTTGAAATAAGGTATTGATAGGTGTGACAGGGATAGCCACAAATGTGGTAAATGTCCATATAAGCAAAGAGTAAATAGACTAGGACCTTTTAACTCAGTGAAAGAAGGAGCATGGGGTATGTATAGAAATGGTATAGGCAGAAGGGCTATAATGGACTTCTGCAGCTCTGCAAGTGGTGTGGCTATTCAGCAAAAATTGCTTTTTCGTCACCTTTCATTACACAAACCTGGGAGGTGGCAAATTAAATGATCAGATTGATCTTTCAAAATAAGCCAAAACATATAATGCCTTTTCTCACGTGTAATATAATGGTAAATTCTTTGCCACAGGGCTTTGTGGATGTCAAAACTATATAGTTAAAAATAGGTAAGACAGAAAAACTAAAGAAAGGAAAAAATTCATATTTATTGAAAAGCAAACAAACAAAAACAAGCAAGCAAACAGAAAAAAACCATGCAACTCTAAGTCCACCTTAAGCTTAGGGTGTCCACCTCCAACTCACAGGCTGGTACAATACTGGGAAAGCATCACACAGTAGCCTTCATGACCCCACTCTTCCCAGCAGCTGAGCTAGCAGAGGGGTCCCCTTGTACTGTAAGGACCAGAGCTTGATGTGACCAAGGGCGAGCAGACATAGGCTCAACAGCTTGGTCACTTTCTTCAGCAAGGTATTTAGTTCCAGTAATCTTCTCTAAGAGGTCAGCTGAGCGTTAACAGGATGCAGGGATGCTCTTGCTGCAGGGTTTGTAATGGCAATAAGCATTCAAACCCTGCTGGTACTCACCTCCAAGTGACAAAGTGAACCAAGGAACCGAGCAGCACGCCAGTGTATTGATTTCAAGCTGAAGTATCCATTGCTCCTTCAGCTCCCGAGGCTTTTTGTGAAGTCTTTCATTCAGGTAATGAAGTCTAACCCTCTTGAGCTTACAAAACCTGATGATTTCATGGTATGAGTCGGATCTAGCTTGAGGCTCAGCCTTGCTCTTCCAACTTCATTATTGCTTCATATTTTGGTGTGTGTAAACCACCTAATTTTCAGCTATGTTATTTTCCAGGTAGAATCAGTGCAGGCTCTATCCTGTTTAGCAGAACAAGGGTCAGCCCTTCAGATGAGAATGAAGTAAACAGACTTGCCCTTTTGTTTTGAAAAATGAAAGCAAGGCAGATTTGCCTTTAGAAATGAGGGTCATATGTCTGTAGCAACTTCTTGTCCTGAGATTGCTCTTTCTTGTTTTATTATTATTATTTTTTTAACATAAAGCAGCATTGCTTCTTGGTCCATAGTGTTGAAAAGGTAAGAGGATTGCTGGAAAAGACTTGGGTGGTTCCCTGTAGCCTTCCACCTTGTTCTGCTGTGTACCATCTTTCAACAGCTTTCCATGGCACCTCAACATGCTACTGATGGGAGGAATTCTATTGTCTCATCCATGTTTTGAAAACCCCTTGCTCACACTGGCAAGGCAATGCCAATGTCAAGATTTAATTATCCCACTCAGATTAGCAGATTTACTCCTGTAATTAATGACCCACAATGGGAAGAAGCAAATTAAGATAATTCTGTTCCCAAATAATTATTGCCATTTATATGGTTGTTAAATATGTAATTTTCAATTTCACTTACTTCCTTTCTTACTGCTAGCATTATCCTAGCAACTATCTTGCTGCAACAATTTTCCATTATTCTGCTGCCTGTGCTACAATCATTTGCAGTCAGATGGGGCCCTATTAGGCAACAACATTCACATCAAATAATTTTCACTAACAAGGAACAGAGGCAGTTCAGTTGTCATCTGCACCATGCTGGTGGTGCATCTTTCATCGTCTTATCCGCACTTTTCTGAGTCACAACATCGCTGTTATTAGCTCTGACAAATAAAGAGGCAGAGGTATAATTGCCAGTGATGGTGGGAAAGAAAAGGATGCTTTCCATTCTTTCAGAAGTGGCCATTTTCTGTGTAGAACAAATTTCCAGTTGTTCCCCAGGGGCTATTTAAGGCAGCTACAATGGCTACATTTTGTGGCACAGGCCTGCAGGAATACACCATTCCCAATGTGATTATTGCTTATAAGAGTATTATTAAAGATTCAGGGAGCTTGGGATGCTGTAAGAGAGAACCATTAAACACTTGCAGTAATTGGGATCCCAGAACCTGACCACTGTTAGCCATCTGCAGAGGGGTGAGCCCACTGCTCACCTCCAACAGCACTGGCATCACAGGGAACAGGACCAAAGCAGGCCGATAAGATGACATCTGTCTCTTGCTGAAGCTAGAAGAGGTTGTGCTACTGATGCTAATAGGATAGAGACTTAAGCAATTTTTTCCCTTCACCCTGAAATGCTTTCCCTTCCACATTTGCCTTTTCCTGTTTTTCTGTGCATTTTTAGGCTCATCTCTCCGCGTGCACTGTATCTTCCACCAAGCTGCACAGGGCAGGCCTCTGGCTTCTCACAGCCCCAGGACTGCTTGCCAGCATCTTGGGTGTGTTGGGGCAATGGAGGGAGCTATTGGTCTCCCTAGAGCTCCAAAACGAGCTGCCACAAGCAGGGCTGCACCAACTGGCACAGGGACTGACATCGTCAGCACACTCCCAGTGCACCAGCGGTGTAGTTTGCCTGGAAAATCTGTCAGGCAAAATTTGTGAGGTTTTTCGCAGCTCTGATTTCTCTATCCCCGAGAGTGTCTTTGCTAAGAGAAAGCATTGATTTTTGCCATCCAACACACACACATATGAATATGATTCATTCCACCCTATTCCTCAGAATAACTTCTGTGAGTTGTTACCCCTGCTAAAATGAGCCTTTTCACAGGTCTGTATTTCCACCTAGTATACACACAATAAAATTACCAGAAGTGAAATAAACTTTCTTTGACTTGGAGGAAATTTTATGTTGTAGAGATCTTTTCTCGAAGAAACAACAGTTAGCTTTATACTATATTCATTTATAAGTAAACTTAGCACCATATTATTTGGTGTAAATGTGGGGTCAACTGTTGAACCAAATGTCTACTTAATAGAATTATACTGTACTAAAATGAAAACTATCAAATATTAGCAACACAACTACAATTTGAGATTAAAACATGTTTTGTTTGAATATTTGAAAGTGGCTACTCATTGAACTTCGGTTAATTTAAAGCAAGTGGAGCATCGCAATAAAAACCTTTAAGCTGTACATATTTATTAAATATTAAATTGACAAACATGAGTGTATATAAAAAAAAAAAAGATTCTTAAAAATGAAATCAAATTAGAGGTAACATTATGTCCAGCCAAACTTAGAAAGGAAGTACTTTTGGCTGGAGAAGGAAAAAACAGTAAAGGTATAATTAAAACTGCATTTTTTGTACCTATCTGGAGATATGTCACCATTCCGTTCTGTTTTCTGTCATTTTCACTCCTTCACATTTAATAAACTACAGTATTGTTTAAGTCAAGTGGCTGGCTCTTAACAGGAGACCAGGCTTATTTTCCAAGGCTGGATCAATTGGGACTGTGTCTGCTATAGCAGTTGTTTTTCCATATGTATTTAAAGTCTTTCAGTGAGAATAATCTGCAGCCTCTTTATCCAGATCTGATGTCTCGCAAGCCTTGCATTTAGAAACTTTTCTCTACTATGTAACTTCAACTTATGCATTTTGTCTTCTGTATACAGATTATAAAAAAACAACATTTGCTGCCTTCTTTGCAACAGTCCTTCATGTATTTTGCTATTTTTGCTATTTTTAACTATAGTACAAATGGGAATTCACAAGCTTCTTTATAGACTGCATTTCTCAAATTCTTTTTTTTTCATATTTCTTTGGGCTTTCGCTATTCATTTACAGTTTTTCTTGAAGATGCATGCCCAAAATGAAAGGGAATTCCCTTCAGTGGATGCTAGAAGTTCTGGGTATTATAGGGTAATTCATCTTCTATTTTACAAGCCACATTACAGCATAATTTGGCTTAACATTTGCTTTAGCAAAAATATTAAATCTTTATCCCAATTTTTTCTGAAGACATGTTATCTATCTACTTGCTGCCCACCCTGCATTTATTTACTTCAACCCTGCTGCTTAATGTTACAACTGAGCAATGTTTTCTTATAAGTTTCTAATGTGTGAAACAGTCAAGTGAATATATTGACATCTAATCTCAGTGTTGATCTATGTGTATTACCTTAACTCTTTTCCCTTTCAGGCTCTATGAAGGAATGCAAAATGACTGCAAAGAGCAAAAACAACAAGCCACAGCTCAAAAATATAACCACCTGATTTTTCAAGGTTCATCATGCCAACCAACAAATATTTTCCAAAACTCTGCTAGTCAGGTGAGTTGAAGTTATCAGAGCTAAGTACTCTCATCACTTTCTTCTTTCTTTGAGATCTTGTCTTGGAGATCTTACCTCTTTCACTGCTACCAGTTTGAACTTCAGTGATGTTCTGGGACTGAAACATTCAACAGTATGAACATCTCTCATCAGCTTTCCTTTACAACAGATATCCTGTTCCAGTGAGTCCAACATTTGGGTATTTCGGCCATTCACAGAAAGGTTTTTGGTTACCATAGCTATCTTCTACAGAACTCTGTGTTCTGTTTCTGCATGTTTGTTTGTTTTGTTGGGTTTTTTTTTTTTCCTTTTTTTAAGTGAACACTCAGATATAATTTGACTCAAAACCTTTGGAAAGTTTGAGTCATAGAGAAGAAAGTCTTTGAGCAATGCATTTTTTATCCAAAATCACAAATACATAAGATTGGTTGTTTTTTTTTTCTTTTTTCTTTCTTTTTTTTTTAATGCTGTCTTTTTCCTTTTTTTTTTTTTTTTTTTTTCTTTTGTGGGGTGGAGAATGTAATTTACCAAAACTTTTATGTAAACAAGACAAACTTTGCTTAGCTTTTTGAGTGCTTAGTTTCACTTACATATCCACACTGCAAAAGTTAATGAAGAATATACATAATTTTGCTTACATTTCAATACATGAAAATGCATGCCTTTTTTAAAAAGCTATTAAATTCCACATAACATGAATGGAAAAATACTGGATTTTAACTTTTATATATTTAAATGAGTTCATGTCATTTATGTAAAATTCAAAGTTGCGCATGCAAACCAACTCATATATACATAAATACATACAAATTTGTTCAAATTTGCAAATCTTTATCTTCTAGCAACTAATTATTTTTTCCATGATTGGGAACTTTTAGTGTCCTAATTGCCTTACTGGAAAATTAGGAACTGAAATTAGTATTATTATGCACAAAGTAAACATTTAAGTTGAAAAAAATCCCACCACCCTTCAAATGAGAGATAGTATTTCTGCGGATACAACAATGATATTCTAACATATCAGGAAAACCACCATTAATCAGTAAAAAAATCTGAGGAAAAAAAAAAGCAGATCAGGAATATGTTTGAGCATGCTAAGATAGTAGCTGTAGCAACTATATAAGTAGCAGCTCTACAGGCTGCAATCTCTCATTCTGATTTCTCTCTAGAAGTAAGACTTATGATGTAATAGGATAAAATGCAGAAGGTGGAGGAGCCCCGGTTCCACACAAAATAGGCAATGCAGTCTTATCTTTTTTCATTAGGGAAAACAAATTGTTTTTCCAAGTGAACAATCAATTGTTTAGGCACTGGAATTGGAAGAAAAGGGATGAAAACAGGAAGGTACCAGCAGTAAATTTGTCCAACACTGGAAGTTCTGTAATAACAATAATAATAAAAAGAATAATAATTCCAAAAATTGCATTTCATAATGGAGAAATAAATGAAATATGCTGTAAAGGATGATAAGTATTTCTGAAGAATTAACCTATCATAAAGCTCTTCTGACAAAGCGAAAATTAAGATCACTATGAACATGGGTCACTGAAGAAATCCTATGGAATTATACTTTATACTACATGGAGACCGAAATAATCATACAGTTTTATCACAGTGTCTTTTATTCTTTCAGTTGAGTTAAGCCTGCAAAGAATTTAATCTCTAGAATTTTAATTATGTTAAAGAGATATTCATGTATGGAAAATGTCTTAAGGTGTTTATTCCATCAGGCTGGATTTGCTATCCTTACTTTAAAAAAAAAGGCTCTCTTGATGAGAAATTCTTCAAGGAAAGGATTTTTCTTTACCTTAAAATTTGAAATGCTAAAATTCGCTACACAAAAGAGAAGAGGTAAGTCATGAAGAAGGAATGGATAAAAATGGCTTTGGACACATTCTACTCCAACTGTTCATTTTTATTAGGAAAAATAAAGATAAGTACTCTGATAGCTAGTTAGAATTATTGATTAAATTGAAGCTTTGAGGAGAAATCTGAAGAAATAAAAGAGAAAACATTTTGAAAGCTGTCATTGTAAGCATGTATCTTTTTTTTTTCAGTGAGCCATGAGGAGGTAAACAGAAAGGATTGTATTTTAACAGCAGACAGTACAGTATGCTTTAGGCTATAAAAATAAATAAATAAAAAGCAAACAAAAAAAACCCACCAAATAATAGCACACAAGTTTTAATTGGCAAAATTATTATTAGACTTTGGCTGGTTTTGATACGGGCTTGGCTGGTCAGAAACCAGCAGCAAAATTCTTGGAGAATTGAGTATTCACAGTATGAATGAGAGGGAACACAGGAGTGCTACTTTTTGCAGTCTATCAATTCTAAGCACCAGAAATTATGCTGTGTGAAGATACCTGGGAAGATGAGTAGCGACCTACAGAGTTTGGCAGTACACACGCTGATTTTTTTATATATGTGTGTATATATAGTAAAAAGAAGTATAAAAGCATGGACCTAGGTCACTGTGTTTTCAGTGACTCAGGAGAGTAAACAAGGTAAATATGAAATGAGGATTTCTCCTATTATTCTGTCCTCTGATGTCAGATTTTCATTGCAAATACACGAGTGGTGATATGGTCAAGGCAATTTGAAAAGGCAAAGGCTATGTGTTTCAAAACAAATGGAATAGAGCTGCAGTAATTATCTTCACCACATCACCACAGTACAATAAAGGTGAATTCATTTTTCTACTTGATGGCCATTTCCTCCTTAGGAAGGCAAATCCTACATCTCCTGTGCATGGCACAGCTTAAGAGTAGTGACAGATTGGCTAAGAAATGGGGAGTACTTATTATATGACTCCTGCAATACATGCTATATCAATTTTAGTGTATATCTAATGTTCACTATGGAAGCATAATCAATGGCTGAAGCTGAAATTATTTGTCAGCAGCTTAGACCCTCACAGGAGCCATGAATTTGGGTGTAGGTGAAAATCAATCCCTACATCTTTTGTATTCAATTACAGGAATGAATAACTATTCTTGAACTGAGGGTTAACCCCCTCCAGGACTGTAGCTCATATTTTACTCCTGGAGAGAGGTTTGTCTTTGGAGGACTACTTGGTTATATATCAGGATCTTCCTGATACAACCTATGGTGGTCCATGCACAAAAGCCATTCAATTTTCAGATGTCATTGAATTCCAGTATGGTTTTGAATAAGTTTTTTATAAGGTTCATCAATAAAATGCTTGATCAACTGAAATAGGAAACAGTAAATGATCGTTCAGCAAATTTGGAGGAAGGATGAAGTTACTCAGATAGACAGTGTTGGACATTACCTCGTTCCATTCAATCATGATAGGTGATGTTATAAAACAAGTATTTCAGTATCTTACAGCTATTTTGAAAGAAACATTCTGTAAAAAAGTTTTAAAATACATTTACTTACCAAGTACACCTAATAAGTTAATACCAAATGTTACGTATTTCCTTAACAAAAAAAAGAGAGAGAGAAATTCAATCTAGCCAACAAAATTCAGGGAGAAATGGCTTATATTCACAGAAATCTGAAGGTATATTTAACTCTGCAATTTCTGTAGCAAGCAAAGTTTTTTATAGCTTTGAAGAACGTGGGAAAAAGTAAGTTTGACTGTCACTGAATTACAGTAGGATTTGTAAATCCAGGATAACAAAGATTTCATCCAAGAAGAATCTTGAAGCTTTTTGATGGTTTTAAATTTACTAGTTTCCAGTTGTTCATTGTTTAATACCTGAAGGAAAAAAGAAATGGTAGCTCAGAGCAATGTTTTCTTTGATGAAGCAATTAGTAACACACTGCTGGAAACAGACAAGCAGAACATTACTGTATTGTATTGCAGGACACGTTTACCACCAAATCTGTTTACAAATAATTTAACAACATGAAGTCAGATTTTCAACTGTGCAGAATTTACCAGAAGAAGATAGCTTTATGTCATCTCCTGCTGGAGCTCTCAGTACTGTCCTGAGAGTAAATCTAACATGTTCTGCATTTGCATCTTAACCTCCACTATTCCCCACTACGCAATGGCTACTTTAATGCTGATGTTATCATTATTTCCAGCTCCAAAATTTATTTTAAGACAGTTAAAATGCCAATGTCAAAGAATTAAAATGATGATTAAATCCTTCAATAATATTATGTTTTCAATTACTCTGAGTGCTGACGTGAGCTTAACGCATTCCAGAAATGGAATATGAGAGACACCCTAAGAGAAGATTTTCTTATAAACCTCTGGTGTGCAAATCTATTAAGATAATAACCTAAGAACCACTTATTTAAAGCAATATTGTATAACTGCATCACTTCTCTAATACATTAGTATTATTTGTCTTGTTAATTTTGAATAGTCTAGAATGATCTGTCTTCCTTGTTTACCACAAAATCTAAATTCACAAACAGTAGATGATATAGATGATACAGTATCAGATATAATGTAGAAACTAAAACATGGCAAGTTCTAGCCAAACAGATTTTTCTTGTGCAGGAGACTAAGCACGGATACAGGTTTCATAGAGAAGCTGTGTAGTCTTCATTCTTTGAGTTATTCTAAAGCCATCTAGACTTGGACCTGTGTAGTTGGCTTTAGGTGATCCTGTTTGAGCAGGGGTTTTGGACAAGAAGACCTCCAGAGGTCTCTTCTAAACTCAGTCACTCTGCTGTGAATGCATATTTGTAATTTATGAAAACTTGAGACTGGGACCTTATTTTCATAGGTGAAAGTCAAGACAAAAGAAGTAAAACATTTTCACTTAGTACTGATAATACGTGAGAAAAAGGATAGCAAGACAATATGAAAGCTCCAGTTTGTTAACTTACTCTATAAACTCATAATGTATGTCACTCAGCAGCCCTCAGTCCCAAATATGAAAACAACAAAGGCTGAAGTGCCATAACTGTAGAAAGTCAGACTTGCTCCATATTGGCAGCTGGAATGCTTTGCATACGTCAGTCACTGTTTCATTAGCCCCTTCCTTGCAAGTATGCTAAAATAGTTCATCCTGAATGAAATGCCTCCTATTCATTTTCAAACTAAAACAGATACAAAGAGAACAATAACACTATTTGACAGAGAAAATTCTGAGCTACAAAACACTATTTTTCAACACTGTCACCAACATTAGCTATGCGTTTTTACCTGCAGTGAACAAGAGCCTGCATGCCACATTGTAAAAATTTGCATTAGCAGAGGTGACCCACTGTCACTGTCACCGCAGCTGAAGTGCACCACCCACCACCTCACTGTGCTCACATCCAGTGTTTGGTCTCCAGAAACATTCAGCAAGCACTGATCAATGTCAATGGGTGCCATTGTTTCCATATGGATGAATTAACAGTGACACTCCCTTGCTTCACATGCACTTCCATGTCAGATGCCATTCTATCAGACTGCCCTTCTGCTGCCATCTGTCACACGGCAACAACATGTAATGGAATACTGGTGGTGGGAAAGTTCAACCTCTACTGCCGTACCACTAACATCTGTTCCCTGATGTCATGGGCCAACATAATAAAACAGGAGGTGTTACTTTCAGAGCAGCCCTCATCTTTAAGCAAAGTGGTTATTTGATGGTGTTTGCCACTGATGTTTCTAGAAGGAAGGGGTTTTCTGGAATACCATAAGGATCAGTGAACTCTGGAGTCCTGGTAATGCTGTATTGCATTATTTTATGTGAGCTCCTGATCCATTTTGACAACTTCTCACATATTCCTGTCCTAAAGGTCAAACCTGTTTCTCACCAGCGTTAACTGACAAATGAAAATATCAGTGTTTTAGAAAAATGGCATCCATAATAGGTTAATCTCATCTTTATCAACTGAACTTGATGGGATGCTCTTGAAAAGTGATTGGGGATATTCACTATAAGCATTTCTGAGTCTGTGAAAAGCTCAGTTTAAGCTTTCTTTATAACAGACTGTAAAAGTGATCAATGTGATATCTGAAAAATAGTGGTGGATCAAGGCAGGTGCCAAGTTTCTAGTCACTTAAGATTACTCATCAGTGGCACTGACTGCATAACTGAATCTGCAAAGGTGCCCTCCAGAACAGAACAGTTTTTGAAATGCCCTGTCAAAATTGCTAAAATCCAAAAATACATTGCATTTTTTGAATATATGTTGTTGCCTTTGAATAATAGACAAAAGAATTTTAAAATATCTTGGAAAAATGAAACAAACACATATTTCATATGTGTCTATAGTATTATTGCAGGTTTAGCTGATGTGTTCTTTGTAGTAAAATTAATATGACTACAAAGATCAAAGATGACCAGGATAAGGAACAGTACAACAGAATGGACTAGGACTCTTGATTAAGAAAATCTCTAGGAACAGTGATTCACTGTTTTCCACAGTTTAAAAACTAAACATCTCTAGATGAAATTATAACACTAATCATTGAAAAAGGAGATGTACTTACCTCATTGAATGTACCACCACCAACAGGCTGATGTTGAAAGCTTCCATGGATTCAAACAGCAACCAAAGAGACATACATCAGAAGACATCAGTACTTACTAAACTCAAATCTTCATGGTGATTCAGTAAATTTCCAATAAAACAAGGACTGGAGCTTGGGAGAGACCAGGCACGCATTAAGCTTGTAGCCTTAGACTCTCCAGATATCATCTCTTTGGGCCACTGCAAGAGACTTTTTCTGAAATATACAACAATATGACTGTAAATATTTTCTTGTTCCTTGTGCATTTTATTGCAACAAAGAACTCCGATTTAGAATAGCAGAAGACATCAGGTAATTTACAGCTATTGTGCATAAAAATATATTTACTCTTTTCTGAGTAGGAAACAGTACATGTGTTTAGGTAAGAAAATCAAATTACATAACTATTCTTGAAGAGTACATTCCCTCCAGCATGCCTGTAACGTACAATGGCTGGGCTCCTCAACAGCCAGGTGAATCTGGGAATATGCTGAATCTTCACCATTCTCAAAAAAAGAACTTGAATGAAATTTGACTTGAGGTTTTGAAATAAACTGCTAGGATATCTCCACCCTTAACATATCCCAGTATGCCATTTCACTGCCAGTTACTGTCAAGATCAAGATGGTAATACAGAGCCCCTCTATAGGGTTTGTCCCTGTGAGTGGGAACAAGACTGAGGGAAACCCAGATTAAAAGGGAACTTCGAATGTGCTTTTAGAGGTTACAGAAAGAGCAGTGTTTTAGAGCTGCATCTACTCTTGGTATAATCTTATCCAGATTTAAAAAAAAAAAAAAGACCGAACATGAGCTCAATTAGAAACATACCCATGTCTTTTCAGCAAAGAGAAAGAACAGGAAACACCACAAATCACTGAAGAAAATACATACTCATACAATGATACAGTTCACCAATGCCCATACTGTATATTCCTCCATGGCTTTACAGAATTGGTAGTAAAGGTAACCTCAAAAGAACAGGTAGTATTTCTGTATCAATCCAGGTTTGGGCTGCCCACATAGATATTATGGTGCTGAGACTTGGAAATGACATTCACCTTAGGATGTTCAAAATTCAGGCCAGCAGAGGAATGATGTAACACACTATGTTTTGCAAAGTATATTTGCTTGGAAATCTAAGAAAGAAAAGGTAAGATTTTTGCTTTAAAAATCTAGCTCTATAAAGAACTAGACTAAAAAATGATAGATAGAAAAAAATTAATGATGCCACTTCACAAATAGTATCCAAGAAAAAAATCATTAACCTGAAATTATTCTTTGTGAATGCAGCTCAAAAAATGTTACTGTCAGAGATCCCGCTGCTGGGAAAAGCTACAAAAAGTCATTGTAAATGTTGTGAAAAAGCTGAAAACAATTTATAGATCCACTTTTTTATTATGTTAAGATGACACTAACATGATACCATGATTATTAATTATAACACTGTAAAAACCATCTGTGACTTGGCTTCTCTTTATGGATAGAAAAGACATGCTGAACGTATGGATAGCCTTATTTGCCACTACATTAGTGCAGCTTTAAATGGATGTAATATTACAGCAACGTGAGTATGAAGTACCACAGTGGGAAGTCACGAATCTTGTATGCATTATTCAAGAACAATAAGCAGATGACATATGGATAATAGCATTACATTCTCCTTGAGAGATGGTAAAATGTAAATAAGACACAGCATCTTCTAAGCAGTTACACAAGGCTTAATCTAAAATATGTTATCCTACATCTGCCCAGCGGATGCCCACTAAACATAAGAAAGGCAAATGGTTGTTCTCCAAGTCACCCTCCTGGTAAGTAGGCAGTATTAACACTTTGAAGTGAATTCCTGTCCTTGTCTGAGTCAAATGCAAAATGAGCGTGCACATGCGTATGTTGATTTGGGTAGGAGTATGAATTCAACCTCTAAGTACCATTCTGTGCTGCATATCCCAGTTACTCATAGTCTACATTTCCACATTGCTTAAAGAAGTGCCAAAGCTAAAAACTTGAGGAGCAAACCTTAATCTGACCATTTAGATAGACTTTAATAATCTCTTCCTTTTTTAATTTTAAAGTTTTGGAGGAAATCCTAATTATCTTTGGTTTTACATAACCAGAACTAATAAAAAATTGGTCTCTATTATTCCAGACATATTCAGGCCACTTTCAGTCCTTGTCTAGGTTATGGAATACTCAAATGCCTTTTTTTATTCCTTGCTGTTAAAGAAAAATATGAAAGGAGAGAGAGATTTTGTTAGCAGATCTCACTGAAGGCCAATTGCAAAGTGCCCTGCCATCACCTTGGAAATAATGAGGGAGAATATTGCCCAACAGACAGAAGATTGAATTGATGAAGATGACTTTTGATAAATATATAAGGAATCATTATATACAGAAACCCAAGTGAATACTGAGGATGGAATTCAAAGATTCAGTACACAGAATTTCTCTAAACAGGAAGAAGTATTTTCTAAAGTCATTAGAGATTAATAGTATTGTTATTATTATTGCTGTTATCATTTTAAGTTTCAGCTCAGGGCTCAGGTCAGCAACAACAATTTCTGCAAGGTTATCAGGTTGCTGAACATTTCCTTTTCTGCTCAGTGATGTACAACAGTCCCATTTCTGGTGAAAATTGTTTTATTGGAAACTATGAAGCATAAAAATAATGAGACCAATTTTCATAAGGACATTTTTCCCTTGTGAACGCAATGTGCAATCACAGCAGAGCAGTGGAGGCAACTCACCATTTGTGCTTCCAAATCAAAAAGCATTAATGGAGTTGAACAACACTGGTTAGGTCTGTGGTATCCTAGCTCAGGAAAGAATACAAACTATGAGAATACATGCAGATAAAGGATTTTTAGGTATAAAAGAAAGTCATTCTGAAAGACAGGAAGTTATCTTCAGCAGAAGGCTAAAAAAGGATATGCATCTTTTCTTTTGGTACATAGATTGCAGGAAGAATTATGCAAGATAAAGGACAATCCTGGGAAATTAAATATAATTTGGATAGGAAATCAGACATGGTTTTCTCATGCCAGTTCTTACATTCTGGTTTCTGCAGTGATGAAAGATATGTAGGTCTCTCTGAAAGTAAGAACTCCTATTTATGTCCACAGAAACTGCAACAGATACAAAGAATACAACAACTCTATTTGATAGAGCAAATTTTCGGCTACAAAATACTATTTTTCAACATTGTCACTAACATTAGCTATGCCCGCAATGAACAAGAGCCTTCATACTGCACTCGTAAACATCTGCACCAGTGGAGCTGACTGTCACTGTCAACACTGCTGAAATGCACCACCCACCACCTCACTGCGCTCACATCCACGTGTTGTTACCCAGAAACATTCAACAAGCATTGACAATTGCCAATGGGTGCCATTTTTTCCTGCATAGATGAATTATTCAGTGACATCTCTTTGCTACAGATGCACTTCCATGTCGGATACTATTTTGTCAGACTGCCTCTTTGCTGCCAACTGTCACACAGATGCAACAAAATATGATGGAATATTGGTGGGAAGGTTCAACCTCTACTGCCATACTGGCAGCATTAGCCTCTGATGTCATGGGCCAACATAATAAATTAGGAGGCATTACTTTTGGAGCCATCTCCATATTTTTTAATTGGATTCTAAAAAGTTCCTGGTGGGGCTGGATTGACAAAGGTGGCACCAGAGTTCTGTGAACTGGCTTTGACTACCTACAAGCTGCTATGCTTTTCCATATGATTGAAAACATAGTTGCTGTCAAAAGTGTATAACCAATAGACTTGAGCATATACTGTGAGTACATGCTCAGGTATGTGCCCATGACTGACTCATTCAAGTTCCAGAAGGAGCCTGGGACCTGGTACCAGTTGAAAAAGGAAATACCTACTACTGGAAATACCAGAACAATGCAGCTCAGAAAGATTTTCAGAAAGCACCAATCACTTCCTTTCTTTCTCCCAGAGACCTAAACGAGTTACAGCTTTCAGTATGAAAGGGATTACCACAAGCTATTTTCTTTCTCCCCTTATTGAATTCACAGCTGTAGAAAGAATTAAGCAATGAGGTGAAATAATTGTTTAAAATTACTGCAAATGAATCTTGATCACAACCTCAAAACTGAGAATCATGATCATTATATTTGCATTCTCATGAATGTACATGAAGTTATTGTTGTGTACCAGAGTATATATTTGTGTATTAACTTTATCAAATTTAAGTGTTTGTGATATCTCAGTGAGCATGAAATGTAGTTACTTGGTTGCACCTGTTCATAATAATTGGATTCAATATTCATGAATGATTTTCCAGCAACCATGTGCATGAGCAGTGATCATTAAGTCAGGCTTCCAGCTCCCCAAATATTGTACTGCAAGTGATCTGTGAGGTCTGTGAAAACAACTGTGTATAAAATATCACCTGACACTATGAAATGTAGACACAGGTGATTGCTTCTCTTGGCCTGGATACCAAATCTCTATTTCAGGTGGGAATTCACCTTCATATAGCAATTAGGAATGATGGTAAATGGAACGAGATGCTAAAGTTAAAAAAATCATGCTATATCTGACAACTGTTAGGTGAGCTGAACCAGAAGCAGCCTGGAAAAGACAGAGTATTAAAAAATTGGATGTTAAATGTGGCAAGATTGACAAAAGTAAAAATCAAAAATTTAAGAAAAAGCAAAAATCGAAGAAAACATAAACTGGGATGATAAAAAGATCATTGAATTAATCCTGAAATTCAGGGTGACAGTCTTTTTCTTGTCCTACTTCTCTACAGGTTAGCGTCTTCCTGTTAGGGATATACAAGATTAAAGTATGCATCTAATGCAGCACGTAACCCACGGGCAGTTAGCCCAGTGTTTAGAAGATATATTGGATTTGCTGCAAATGAACAGATGATGTCCAGTAAGGCCAGTGTTTCTGGAACAGCGTACAAAAAACTTGCAGTTGATTTGTATGGGCAAGGCATCCAAGTCACACAGTTCCAGACTGAGAGCTCATATGGCTTCTCTGAGTAATATACCAAAATTCATTGCAGATAACATTTCTTATCAGAAAGAAAAAAAGAAAAAAGGAAAAAAAAGAGAATGCAATGAAATGCCTTCAAATATAGGCTAGCCCTCGCAAGGCCAATAGCATATCATGCAAGTGAGCAAAACTTACATTTTCACATTGCACGAGTTAAATGATTGTCTGGACATGTCTAAATAATCACATCCGTTTCTAAATGTCCTTTGAATCACATCTGATTTGGCAGGAGATGGCAATTCCCAATGAGATAAACAGTTAAAAAGATCATACAAACAGCTGGGTTTTGGCTCAGCTCTGCATTGCTGTAACTTCACATTGCTGGGATTCCACTAAAATAAGCAGACATATCAGAATGATCTAAAATGTCAAACAGGTTAATCCAAGACCAGTGAAAAGAAGGAATAAGATGCTTTAACTGCCTATCCCCTTTCTGATGGACTGCTATTTCCTCTTGTGTTAAGAAATGGCAAAGAAATCTTAAGTGGTAATCTCTGTTTTGGTGGTATTTTGCAGTAATATATATTTCTGCAGGTGAAGACCTCAAAAAGAACAGCTCCATTTTGAAATGTGATAAAGACCAAAGCAATTAGCAGTCAGCCTCTTGGATAAGTAGTCGGACATGATAAACCTGGGCTTTTTATTGATCCTGAATTCTGAAAACTCAAGAGTTTTGAAGCTATGACTTACATTTGATTCAGTATTCATTATTTAGAAAGCTAATCATGAATTGTAACATCTTGTTTTACAGCCTCAGCCCCCAACATCATGAACTTTAGATCATATTACTTATTGCAGAATGAGCAAAAGTAATTTATTTTGTTATTATCCATTTGATAAAAATGTTTTCCCATGCTAATGTTATCAGAAAAGATTACAGCAAGCTTTACTGCGAAAAGCAGAACAGGTTAGAATTAAGATATAATAATGAGATTAGAGAGAGACAAAGTAAAAGATAATAAAAGTAGAAGACCATGTAGATAAATACAGAGATTTCTGAAATGGAAAGCTAAATATGCAAAGATTGCTTTTAATTTATTATTTTCATCTCCTGCTTTTGAAATCTCGTTAGTAGCACAATATTGGCCTAGAATTTTAAGGAAGAAAATGTCAGCAGGCATTATCAATCTTATTTTATATAATTGTATAAAAAATAAGTAAAGGAAAATAGCATTGTTTATCTTTGTTTTGAAGCCTGCAGTTACTGTGGCAATTTTGCATAATGCATATTGGTATTAGTTGTTGTGGTATTTAAACCTAAAATGAATATTAAACCCAGTGACTTATTACTGCTTAAAGAGCACATGGTTCCCAGACTTACCAGCGGCACCACTGACAGCCTGTGGCTCCTCGTCTCAAACTCAGTGCCAGCCTTCACATGTTCTCTCACATCTGTCTCCTCCTCATCTCAAAGCTTACCGCAGAGGAAAGCTGCCATCAGATGAATTTCATATGTGAATACAAGCCAGCTACACTGAGCTTTGGCCCCCTGCCTGGTCCTTCCTCTGACTTTGGACAAAGGAAGAGACACAATTTCTGCAGTGAGTGCAGAGGTAGCAAGAAGACCAGGCAAGAAGCTAGTCTACTCCACCTGACCAGCATTACATTCCTGCTCTGTTACTTTCTATTTTAAACTAAATGGATTTCTGAGCAACTTACGGAAGCAGATTCTAAACTCTTTCGAGTATCCTCTAATATTGATAGAAGGCTTTTCAAAGTGTCCTTCAGTCGTCCACACATGGAAAGTAAAATTCCATCATTGGGCACTTTCTCCTCAGGAAATCTCAGCTCTGGATTGTACATGCTGTACTGGAGTGTGCTCTGTAAACAGTGGTACAGTATTGGCTGTAAGTGCAATGCCAAGAGTTAACACAGGTGACACTAACTTAGGATTTTAGCTTTAGAGATCATGGACAGGACTGCTGTGTTTCTATCCCACATTTCAAAGGCACAAACATACTATCATGCTATATGATAGAAAACAAAACTTTCCAATTACACTCAGCTGCCCTTGCACAGGACATCTGCTGTCACACATAGGCATACTGGGTAAGATATTTTGGAAGGAGTTGACTATATAATGCACATACAGTGCAGGTAAACTATGTGTTTGCTTGAGAAATAGCTGTCCCTCTCTGAGAGGGATTGGCAGGTCAGGAGCTGCTGTTGCCACCACCACCACCATCCTCACTGATAGCATCCAGACAAACAAAGCTTGCGAGCCTCCTTGCTTATACCAGAAATAACATAAGGATAAACTCCTCCATGCTCCTACTGCCTATGTGTATTTCACTTTCTATGCCGACAAAAAAAATAGCTCTTTGTCAAAGAAATATTAAGAAAATCCCAAGTGGTTCTTGAGGTTACATTTAGTACTGTCATCAGAACTGTGAGAGAGAAAAGTTGATGCAGTCAGTTGCCTTTTGAACAATCTCTTGTAAATGGAAAACTATGTTTCTTTTTTTCAATTGTATTTTAGTAGTGGCTAGCCTGTTTATGGGTTTCCATAGAAAATGGATCTCCTCAATGTTATTTTATTTTCCTTGAAAGCTCAGAAGAAAGAAACAGTATAGAATATTGCTCTGTAGATCTCTGGGAAATATCACATTGCTTTTTCTCATTCTTCTTCTTAATTTATGCAAGGTTTGTTAAAAATTTTAAAGATTAAAATTATTTTTATAATTGATAAAAGATATATTTTTAGCTGAAGGAGACCATTTTCTCCTGCATGGAGGAATTCAGTGACACACCTTTGCTTCAGATGCCATTCTGTCAGTCTGCCACTCTGCTGCTATTTGTCACATGGAAACAACATGTGATGGAGAAGGTTCAACCTCTACTGCCAAACCACCAGCATCCACCTCTGATGTCATAGGCCAACATAATAAAAGAGGAGACATTACTTTCAGAGCACCAATTGTATAAATTGTATGCTCTTTGACATTTATTCGAGTTTCTTAAAATACTACCAGAAGTTCTTGAATTTTCTGAGCAATGGACATCATGATAAGTTAAATGTAGCCCTTCCCATTGCTTCATAGAGAAATTCAAATGCTAATTTCAGGAAGCAAACATTTTATCTTTTTAGATACTGAAAATCACAGCCCATCTTAAAAGTTGTTCCATCTGAGTGATTTTGAACTTTTTCTCTGGCACCTCATCTCACACTGGCTCACATAAGTCTCACGCTTCCCAGTGTACTGGAAACAATAAATTCAATCTGACGTTGTGAGAAAATCTGATAGAATGATTATAGCTTGCCAGCTCGAAATTCAGAAATGAAACAATCATTTTTCATCACAGCGCTATTTGCTTAAGGGAGATGTTCACACGTAGAAAAACTTTAACTACCATAATATAATACAGTAACTTTAAATATTCTCTCTTATACTTTCTTAGCACTATTCACTTACACAGCAATGTTTATATTAGAGATGCTTTTTCAGGTACAAGCAACAGATTCAGATTTTACTTTCATCTGCAAACTTGCTAAAAATTGAACTTACATCACAGTTCCAAACAGCATGTGTTGTGGAAAAATAAATCTCATTGAGGAAAGAAAATATAGTCAATCTATAGTCTATAGGGAACTAATTCTAGACTAACAGATATCTTAGTAAACTGTAGAAATAATTTATCGTATCACTTTCAAAAAATGTTTCTCAGTTTTAGTGCATCATTCCACTTATATGGAAACCGTGAGATGTGAATTACTCTTTAGTTTTTGGTGCATGCTGAATATTTTGAAGATTCTAAAATTAAATGAAATGTAGGCTCCTAGCACTTGGCAGACCCTTAAGCTGAGAAAAACATGGAAATAGACTAGTTAACTCAAGCAGAAATTGCCCTAACAGGAAGACATCTGATTCTCCAAGGTTTTAAAAGCATCTGTCTCAGTGGATAGCTCCAAGACAGACCCATTGTGAGTGCCACAGGACAATTCAGAGGAACTGAGTGATCTGGAAACCACTAAATGGGAGGGAAAGACAAAAATGTATTGCACAGGAAGAGATATATGCCTTACGTGAGTTGGTTGATGCCAAGATTTCCTTCAAATGAAGGCAGAAATACATTTATGCAGTTCTTGTGCAAATGAAGAGAAACACACTTCACGTTGATGAAGACTACTGGAAGTGAGACTGCCTGAAATCAGTGAGAGTTAAGGAAAATAGGGAAATCTTACAAAATGTTTTTATTTGCAGTAAGGAGAATTGCTGCAATAAATATGGCAGAAAAGTACAGCTCCTTCTTCAAGTTATACTATCAAGAGCATCACTAAAAGCTTTGTCTTTTGTTGTTCACAGGGATAAGTCTATTGTGTTCAGGGCAAAGAAATCTACAAGGAAACATCATCTTCTATCCCCCAAACATGTGAGGTGAAATAGAGATGCTTGAAAGAGTCCTTCACATTCAGCCCTGCTCCAGAGCAGTAAAAGGCAGCAGGGTGTATGCTCTTGTGAATTTTTTGATCTTTTAAAATGCTTTCTCCAAAAAACACCACACACGGCAGCACAGGCAGTGCAAGTGAAGTCTGGCTTTTAAATCTGCACTGGGAGCACGTTGGTACTTACTACTCTCAGGTTGCTTTGCATTTACATACCTTCTATAGAAAAATTCCAACATTGTGCCTCCCTCTCGCAGAGGACACCAGTTGCTGCAAAGTGGTGGACTTTTGGAAAGTTCCATTTCAGTTCCATTTCTGCAGTGACAGCAAAAAAGCACAGTGCTTGCAATTTCGATTATATTCTACATAGCTTACTTTAATGTCTTGACACCATGTAAAATAGCACTATCAGCTTCAATTTTCTGCATAATTAAAATAACCATAATAGTTCGACATGGAAGCATGCCAAGTTTATTTGTAGGAGACATTTTCAAATATTGCTAAGAAAAAATATATTAAAAATTCCCATGTGATTGAAAATGGATACACAAATTCTGTGCGAATAATACTATGAAAATGCACACACACATTTTCAACTCTTTAAGGAGATAAAAGAGTCACTGCTCTCTTGTGTTTACTCTGCCAATATTGAATGCAGATGATAGCATTCATTCCTCTTCCCTTATTAAATGCTATCCTTAATCTCAATCTGAATTATTGTTGTGTACTCCAAAACAGGATGAATTCAGGAGTCCTGATAGTGATGGATGACTGTGGTGTTTCATACTGTGGTGCCTAGCATGACACTGCTGTAGAAAGGTGTGGTTTTCCGTTTGCCAAGCACTTAAATTTTGTAAAAACTTTGCAGGCATTTGTCAGCTTATCTGCCAAATAACCACTGTTTTTGTTTTGTTGTTAAGATGTAACCCTAAAGAAAGTTAGCAAAATACATTCCAAAACACATTGCATGTTTTGTTTTCCCTTTTAAATTATTCTCAATTTTGTTATCTCTCCATCTCAATATCACAACGACATAAGGATCTGCTTTGGCTGTCTGTAATGTGATTTTTTATTTAATGCATTTAGAATGACCTTCTACGTCCATTAAATTATATATGATCTAGTTTCTTGGCAGGGCCACTTATGATCATTTGTCTTAGATTTTATGTATTGCTTTTCATTGTTGATCTCAGAAATTGTCTTACTTACACTGAATAAAAAGTGACAAGAAGTGATGGAGTATTTTGTTAGAAACACTTTGGAGAATCCTGATTCCAGAAATGTTAGTTTATAGCCTCAAGCCTCAGTAAATGTACAAAGGGACAACAGGCTAGTGACAGCCCCACAGAAAGATCTTTGAGGTTTCTGAGTGATAGGAAGTTGAACGAGTGTCAGCATTGTGCCTTGGCAGCCAAAAAGGCCAACATACCCTGAGATGCATCAGGTCTAGTGCTGCCACCAGGCAAGAAGAGGGACTGTCCCACTCTGCTCTAGACTGTGTGGCCTCACCTGGAGTGCTGTATGTGGGTTTGAGGCCACAATATATGAATGATGTGAAACTATTAGAAAATGTCCAAGGGAGAGCTGTGAAGATGTTGAAGAGTCAGGAGGGAAGATCTATGAGGAATGACTGAGGCATCTTGGTTTGCTTAGCCCAGAGCAAAGAAAGCTGAGTGGAGGTCTCATGGCAGCCTACAGTGATGGAACATTATTGAGCCATGTCAAGGGAGGGTCAGGACAAGTGTTAGGAAAAGGTACTTTACCAGAGGGCAGTGGGCATGGACCAGGGCAGTGGTCACAGCCCTGAGCTGACAGAGTTCAAGGAGCATTTGGACAACACTTCCAGTCCAAAGCCTTGGCAGACATGGAATACCTCCTTAATACCTCATTTACAGGATGATCAGAAATGGGCTCAGTGAGGGTCATTTCACACGTGTTATTCGATTGAATGTGTCTCTGAATGGCATTAGCTCTTTCTGGATGTCTGCAGAGGACTGCAGAGGACTACAGATTCCAATTCCCTAACTTGGGTGCATTTTGAAACTACAATTCCTCTGCTTTTTTTTGTTTTGTCTCTTCTAGTATTCCTCATCAAATTTATTTATTAGATAAATGTTTTCTGAAAGCTTGTCTTTGCACTTTAGGGGTATCTTAAAAACGTCTCCAACTTTGTTTCACACTTACTTGGCTGCGCATTTCTATGAAAGACAGATCTGTGCATTACATTCAATGCAGATTGTTTGTAGAGCATAAGTGAAAATTGGTAAGTGGTGTTTTTCCTTTTTGGTATATCAACCTTGGTTTTTATTCTCAGCAGTGTGCACAAAAATGATGCTTCTGCATAAAGAGATGAAGTATGCACTGAGGCTATTAAGTAAGTATGTTACTGCCAGGCATTGCTCTTCAATGGGACCATGCAAGTCAAAAGCAAGCTTTAGTCAAAGGGCAAAAGTATTAAAATAAATATGTGCAAAGTTACTTTTTTTGCTTCAGGACAGTCTGCAATAAATTGTATCAATAAGAGTTTTCGTGGTTTTAGGAACACTTGGCTTCAGGGTAAATGAAAGCTCTTTGATTTCTGTGTTAATTTAGTTGTCTCCAGAGATTAGGAAGACTGAAGGAACAATTGTTTTACGATTACTGTGTTTATCCAATTTCTGGCAAAGGCCACCAGGATTTTGTTTTTTTGTGTGGGTTTTTTTTTTGTTTGTTTGTTTGTTTTTTAATTTTAATAATTTCATTTATGACAAATGATGCAGCAGAAAACATTTTTCTCCTACAGGTTTATCAGTTTATTAAGCAATTGAATCGATATTTCACTTTGTTCATCTTTGCTCTTACAAGAAAAAGGAGATAAAATAAGGACTTTATTCCTTCGGGGTATTTTGGGAATACCCTAAGACATTAGCACAACCAGGGCAGATAAATCCAAAAGTAAGTCTGAGGATCATCTAATTTTTCAAGGATCAGTGAAAAATATGTGAGTGTCATTTCTCATAGACAGATACATTTGTTTACGCCTGTCCTACCCTAGGCTTCCTTATATTATTTTTAACTCCTTTGAATCCAAGAATGAATACATACAGAATATAAACACAGTAAAGTGAAGAAAAACTCAAAGAGTTCTGAAGTAAACATCTGAAGCCCTAATTGTTCAGTTATATAGAATTCATATAAACATGAACGATGGTTTACTTTAGTATTTTTTGAACTTCTTTAGCTATTCTGTAGGAGAAAAAAGTATTCTCTGGTGTTCAAATGGAGATGTTTCTAATGTACATTTATGCATATTCCCTGCTAATCATAATTAAAAAAACAGTTTTTTGCTTGTGTGTTATTTTGTTGGTTTGGTTTTAAATTTCTGTTAGAAATGACTGTGCAGCCACCATTTATTTTACTTACAAAAAGACTAGTCACAGTGATGGGAAATGTCTCCTTCTCTCCATATTCAAAAGCCAAAGCATTCTCTTCAACACTGAACATTTTTGATTCAGCACAGAAACCTGGATAAATTTAAGCAATAAAGGGTTGTTCAACATCAGGAGACCTAAGCACATGTGTTATAATTATGAAGGAAAACAAGAGGGTATTTTTGCATATCAATTGTAAGAGATCCTCAGATTTTTTTGTTCTTGTCATCTCAGTTGGCATAACTGATCTGAGTAGGTTTAATGTCAGCAGTGTCTCTGAATATCCCACTATATGTATACAATAAAATATTTGCTTTTAGAGCAATCTGACCCCTTACCAACAGTCATGAAAATAAAGCAGTGCAAATAATGCTAAAAAAAAATCAAACAATAAGCATAAAATTCATATCTGCAAAATTCTTAATCTATGCTTGTAGTCATCTGGCATTGTCCTTTGGGACAGTGACCTTCCTCTCTTCTCACTCTCCCAGTATTTCGTCCACTTACCCCTTCAGTTGTACATGAAAGCTGTCTCTCACACCTTTCTTTCTCTTTCTTCCTATGTTTTTCTTTCTTCTTTCATTTCTTTTGGTACAGGGCAGAAGTGAAAGGAAACAGCCGCCCTCAGAAGCACGTTCAAGCACCTTCCTCCATAATGTGCTAAGTCACTTCTGTCCAAACCCCAAGTCTTCACAGTCTGCAGAAGTAGTTACCATTGAGTTCAAATGGCCATAACATTTAATCTCATACTCTATCTGTGGTTGAAGTTGTAATTTTTAAAATTTGAATAATATCTACCTACTGGGCTTAATCTGGAAATAATAATAACAACAACAACAACAAAAAGTTAAAAAATTACATCCCCTTTTCCACTTCCGTGAGGCAAACAAACCAAAGCTTCCTCAGCTGAGTCTGGAAGGCTGGAGCACAGGCAGTACTGCCCTAGCTGGGGGGCATGTATGCTAGACTACAGCATAGGTCTTTCCACCACACTAAGCAGGACATCAAAGCTAACTCACCTGCTCAAGTTATTCACAAAAATCTAAACCAGATCCGTACCTTGATATACACTGAACAGAAAAGTCTCTCTGACAATTGCCTTCTGAAGGTGACAGTAAGAGAAGGAAAGTTGGCTTCTTTTCTTTCTGCTTTTATTATTTGGCTTAACTGCTACATTTGCTCCAATCCCTACCCTGTCATGGAGAACATGCATTTGGCCACTTATAAATTGTAGATTCATCAGCTCCTGTATCAAGACAATATTAGAAAAATGCTGTTGTGAGTGTCAGGCACAAATATTCTGATTTTGAAACAAATGTGACTAAGTGCAGCCTTGAGTGGAACAGGACTATCATGTTCTTCAGGAGGCAAGTGATCACTGGTTCCTGGACTCACTGCCTGTAAAAATAGGCCTAGTGCCCTCCACAATTATTTACCAACATCAGCAATTTAACTTCACATCATTTCACACTTCTAGAAAACAGATGTTTTCTCTCCAGAAATCCAGCACACTCCAACACAGTTATCAGAACTCCATAAACTGCCTTGACTATTTCTGCTGCCTTCAGGTGACATTAAGCAAGGTACATCCTTGTTCAGCATCACAGAGGGGAGAGAGCAAGCAATCACCCCACATGACCATCAGCACACCAATGCTTCTTTCCAGATACTAACCTTAAACATTTTAAGTAGCTTTTTGACAGTCCTGTTGATATTTCTTTGGCAAAGTCCGTTTCTTTGTCCCCGTTATACTTTCAGACTAACTGTCCATACATGTTTGGGATACTGCAGGCACAAAACTGTTCAATAGATAAATAGAAAACAAAATAATACAATGAACATACACAATAAGCTGAATGTTCAGGCAGTACGATTTCATTAAAGTTTATGGGATTTCTGACTTTTAACAATGCTTATCCCAACTGAAAGTTAATCCTCTGCACAAATAATGCAATAAATACAAGTAAAAATCCTTCTTACGCACTAAAATTCTACATAGGCATCTCCATACACAGGCCATGATCTTCTACAGATAAGATTATTCTAAATGAAATGCTGATCCTACTGAAGTCAGTACAGTTTTCTTTCTCTACAATCACCATTTGCAATTCAGTTTCATTGTTAATGATGCACCCCAATTATAATTTGAAGGCAAGATGTTACAGATGGCTTTAATGGGATCATGCACTACACAACTGAAGATTTTGTAGTTATTAGTTAATCCTAATGCAAAAGGAAAGCTTTTCCTTAAAATTTAGGGGCGTTGCATGAAAATTGACCTAACAGTCAACAGAAAAGCTCTAGCTTACTTGACTGGAGATCAATTTTGCCCTATTTAATTTAACTCAATATTGCAGATATTACAGGAAAAAGTTGAAGTCTTTAGCTGGACTTCACTCAGATTTTCACTCATTAAAAGCTAAAATCTCCAAGCAAAACTCAGCACTTGCTACAAAGGCAAGAAACAAAAACAGAAAATGTTTTGAGATGCTGCACAGCTGGCAGAGGTCCAAGATGATATTCCAAGAGCAACAATGCCAGCTTACATCCTTGCCAAAAAGATACAGAGAAACTTTTTGTCTTCACGTTCTCATTTACTGTATTGTTTGTTGACTTTGCATCCTTTGAACTTGGGGAGTGCTGTAACTGTTACCATGCAATTAATTTACTCCTGTTATGCTTCCAGGCATTTTCAGTATAAGCAAATATATGTCCAAAAGAATAACCTATTTTGATCAGAAAAAGATACTAGTACAGTCAAGCCAAAATGTTTTTGCATGCTTTGGCAAGACAGCTTTCTGCATGCTTGCTAAACCTACACTAACATAAAGAGCAGTATATTTAGATCTCTCCATGTATTTTTAAGTAAATGTATAAAATATGTATACAAATGTAATACAATAGAAAAATTTGTTGATTAGGATTTTGTTAGAAGACCAAATAGAGAGTGTGGGGAAAAAAAAGAAAGAAAGAAAGAAAAAAAGCTTGTTAATGCTTACATATATAATGCAGCATTTCAGTGCATTTTAATTTCTAGAAGACATTTATATCAAGCTATCATTATGTACTGAGGTTCATGGACTTGGATACTTTGCCACTCAAAACTAGTAAATAGTTAACTGGATTTAACTGATTCCTTATTTACATCACAGTTTTGTTTCACCATAAACAACCATGTCTATTCAGTGTTGCACAGCATCATTAGGAAGATGTATATCCTCTCTAATTCTCAAGGCAAAAACCCTAGGAGTACTGAAAGCCTACATTAATTACTATGTAGTGAGGGCCGCAGGCAGGGAGAGATGTAGCTGCTTAACTTGATCTGCAGCTGGTTGGCTTGCTATGCCAATTGCAAGTATTGTGCACTGGGATATCAGCTGCAGGGCTGCGATGCAACTGGTGACAGCACCCCTTTCGATCTCACAAAAAAGTGCCTTGTGCCTGCGGCCAAGCATCATAGTCTCAAACACAGCCTTACGCATGACCAGAAGACAAGTAAGTTACTTCCTAAGGATAATCATTTATCCTTGTGAGTCAAGAAATCAGAGCGAAAATTTCTGTCTGCACTAAACAATTAAGTAGATAAGACACTGGCCTCCACCACTGGAATTCAGTTTTGTATTAAATTGCCATACAATTGTCATTAGAGAACATTCCACAATAGAAAATGGCCACAGAAAATGTGGCACCAGTGACAAGATCTGTAAAACCAATACACAGCTAATAAGCAAAAAGAATTACCTCTGACCACAAAGGGATAGGAGGTGGTTTATCTGTGGCTCTAGTTTTGCAATGATAGATAAGTTAATAGCCTCACATAATAGATTATTACCTATGTTTCACTTTTTGATGGAAGATATTATAGTACACTGGCATTAAACGGTATAATGTCTTTATCAAAATGCAGTACAGTGTTTAAGACTCCAAACAAACAGAATTGACCCAAAGATTATATGTTATGGAAGACTAATTATATTGTGATGTCATACAAATACCTAAAATGAAACTGTTTAGAAAGGAACAAGGGAAAATTGTCATTATGGTCAATACATAATTTACCATATGAGAATATATGCATTCACACTTCCTCTATCTGTATCTAAAGGTCACATCCTGGAAGGGCTCCCATACTGTGTCCCACGAGAATTTATAGAAGTATGCTGAAAGAAAACATAAGCCAAAATATATTTTATACAAAAGGAAAAAGGAATGCCACTGAAGTCATTACTCAAGCGGAACCCTGCATAGTAGTGGTTTTAGATCTCAAATACAGGAAAAGCAACATTCCTGCAATAGTCCTCTTTCTGCATAATACAACATGGTATTTTGAGGCTGGATGGAAACTATTCATTCTGGCTTTTGATTAAAAGACTGTACAACGTGCAAGGCAGTAGAGAACTTATTCCAAGATTTCTGAGTTATTTCTGTTCTACTAGAAGCTGACATTACACTGACAACTATCTCATATTCACTCTTTACTTACAGGCTTTCGCAGTTTCTCATTTTTGGGAAACAAACCAGAGGAAAGCATTTTTTTTCTAGTTTATGTGCTTTGTTGATTTATGAAAGCAGATCGAAGGATGTTTATATCTTCTGGCTTTGATCGGCAGGCACTCTTTTTCTACTAGTATCAGCTCCTCTAAAGCCTGTAAGATTGACTTTTCAACCTCTTATCTTAATGTAGGATGCCTTGCTCTTACTTACCTAGATTGCACTTCTTCCTGATTGAATAGAAAGGAATAAGAAGGAGGGGAAGAAAGGAAGGGAAGAAAGAAATCCCAAAACTGCTACTGCTTCTTATCTCAGCACTTCTGACTCCCAAATAAAATAACACTCACGACTCCCATTAAGGAAATATCTGAAGAATTAGGGTCTTCCAAGCTCAGGAATGAATGTTTTCATTTTGATACAATTTTATAATGGAGACAAAGACTGACATCGTGTGAACTGAATAGTTTTGGACTTCCTATGCTGAATGTTAATTTATCAAATGACAAGCAAAAAATTCACTCAGCTATACTTCTTTATTTTACCCTTTAGCTATTAAAGAAATGCATACTTCAAATTCCAATTTTTTTCCTTATTTAAAAGTTAACCAAAAAATGCTGCTTCCTACAACTGCTTAGGATAGGTTATTGTATTGAATGAGTGATATAAGTACATGAGCAGAGTGAGAAAAAGGCAAATCAAAGCCTTTAACTTGTCACTTTCTGCAAATTGTCTTGAAAAAAATGCTAATCATCACACTGGCTTGTTAACTGCTTGTCTCTCAGTTTCTCCCCCATTAAACAGCACTGTGTTCCTTAAAGTCCTTTCCAGTTCCTTACACTTTTCACTTGCTTTTTTCTTTTGCCTGTTATAATAAACTCTTCTTGCTCCATCATTCTCCTTGACAGATTCCTATCCCTTTAGCTTTGGCAGAACACTGATTTTTATTGTAGTTCCTGTGATCTGTTTTGGTGCTCAGAGTGTCAGCTCATTTCTGAAAAGACTTATCTGCTTGTAAGAGAGGATCTCTACTCATCTCACTCCTGATGTAAACGATTTAGAATCCATCTTTGCAGGGACTGGAATCCAAATCTTTCCTCTCCCTGTGAAGCCTTAACGACTAAGTTGCTCAGTCTCTCTGGATGAATTAATTCTTAATTTCTACATGCAAAGGGCAATAGATTTGATAGAATTAATGGGGGACCCATACTTTGTCCACCACCAAGTTAAAACCCTGCTGGGCTCTTCTGAGCTGAGGGGAATGGAACCTTACATATGCTAAAAGACTTGTTCAGTGTTTTAATAAGTTATAGAGTGGCCTCACCTGCATTATTTTATGGGAAAGTATATGATTCAGAGTCCTGATTGATCCCTATGGTCAGAAATTAGTTCAAATTAGACCACTGTACTGAAATTCTCTAATTTTTGTGTTGTGATGCACCTTTCAGCAGCATTTCAGACATGGCTAAGGGCATTTGTGGTTGGTTAAATTTTGTATTTCCCTAATTTATTTTTTATGCATCCCATGCATCACTTTTTGTTTTAAAATGCATGAAGAAACATAAATCCCTAAATCCCAGAGATGTATCCTACTGAGCTAGAGGACACAGTATCAAAAACTAGATGCTCCAATCTGAACTTATTTTTTGCAGGTTGAGGCCTAGAATCAGGCTCTAACACACTTTGGAAACAATCCATGCAGACCACAAGTTGATGGAGTCTATCTCTGCCACCTTTCTGCTAGAGAGATGAGTCTCCTGGAAGCATGGACAGCAGATGGGAGAATATTAGGACACTTTTATTACCCATCCCTAATGGATGATGCTGCTGTCTTGGGAATAAAGTTGTCGGCTAGATTAATAAGAACACATGCATTCACTTCCATAGCAATTGTAGAAGATGACAAAGCAAGTTGCTGTGGAGACAACTGGAGGAAATGGCACAAGGGGAAATTTTTATAAGGTAGGTATACCTGACAACTATTTCAACATGCAAACCTACTGCAAGGAAATCGGTTCCTCCACTCCACTTCCTTTGTTTTTGAAGTAGAAAGGGACAGGCACATATGAGAGCAAAACAAAAATAAGATGTTAAGAAGAGGCTGTTCATATTAAACCATACTTTGGATGCAGTAGAGAATGCTTATTCTCAAAATATTTTCTTCCTTCAAGAGTCTGAATATATACAACACAAAAAGTGGTTGTTATTTACCTCTAAATGCAGCAAACACTTAAAATAAAGGGCAAAATCCTGTCTGATCTTTTTATTGCATTAGAAAAAACAGTATGAACAGATAAAATGTTCAGGCACCAGATGAAAGCAGACAGAACCAATAAAATCAGAAATACAGATGGTGTTTTATTGTGCTCTGGTGGATGGGTGAATTATACCTCTGAAACATATTTCACCAGCTTACTGTGTACAGGTTTGATGTTAAGTAACCCGTTTTGTAATTGCTGCTTAGAGTATGCTGAATAGTGCAAGACAGTTTAAGAGTAATAACCACCTGCTTAAAACTCTTCCAGTGACCACATAAAGACCAATATTGAGGTCTTTAATAGTACTTTAATGACTGAATAAAAAATCACAGCACATTAACAATGGTACGGGGACACAGGGCATGTCATCAGTAAAATAAGTCACACATCAGCCTTTCCTAAGTGTAGATAAATAAGTGACAAAGAAAAAGGTCAAGAGTATTATGTAGAATAAGTCATTTTTCTGGGCATAAAGATCATTAGATCATTTAGACTCACCACGTGCATAACACAGTAAATAACCTCAGCCAGTGGCCCTGGAATCTTTCCAAGTAGCCCGTGCTATGTATAGCTAGTAAGGCACCAAGTCTTAATCTGAGGGCACTGAAAAGACAAAGTCTAACACTTTCTTTGGTATGCTGTTTCAGTAGTAAAACACATGCATTGTTGTCTCATTCTGAACTAATTTAGACATTTCTGAAGATCCTCATGCCTGTCCATAGATGATTAAATAATTCAGGGAATAAGCCAGAATGACTTCACATATTTAGATTTTATTAAAAAGCAACTACCGTGGGAAATATCAGTGCTAATGGTTAAAAAGAAGCAATAGTACTTACTTCAGAATTGGTTTGTCCTTTGTGAACTTAATTCAGATGTGACACCTCAGCTCTGGGAAGACATCCTGCCAGGAAAAAATAAATAAATAAATAAATAAATAAAGGTGTTTTTTTTTTCTTTAGACTGATAGAAGTATTTTTAAGTGATATGAAAATTTAAGAAAAGCATGACCAAATATTCTTAAAGGGAATAATGGAGTAGGGAGTGCGATGGCTGAAAAACAAACAAGAAAACAAGGAAGGAATTATCATGCACTATAGACTGTAGACTAGAAGAGCAGACTTAGCTCAGAATTTTAGCTCCAACTTTCAGCAGTTCAGTTTACTGAATAAAAGCTACTATGCAGAAAAGTAAGAAGCAGAAGTTAGCCCAGCAAAATGAACTGTCTTACAAGGTGAATATAGTCATGGATCTTCTGTGGACAATCCCTGTAACAGCAGATAATCTACAGTTTAGGAGTGAGTGAAGAATCTGGCATGGATTGAACAAAATGCCCCTTACCAAAAGAGGACTGGGACCTGACAGAAATGGAAGACACTGATCTCCCAGAGTAGGCAGTCCAGACCTTAGGTGTTTCTGTGCTACCACGGTGAATACTATTCTAGTCTTACAGGAGTTTGAAAACTGATGGCTTCCACAGTACAGAAAGAAAATACATTGCAAGCTCTACTGCGTAGCTGGTTAATAAGTTCCTGATAGTGACTGCAGATATAGGACTTGCTGAACAGAGTTACCTTTTACTCAGAAGAACTCAGAGACTGGAACACAAATTATGCACTAGAGAGGCGAAAGATTCATAGTCTCTTGTAAATACTTGAGAAGAAATCTCATCTTTTATTGGATTTTATGACAAAATGGAATACCTCTTCATGATCTTGTTGTTATTTTGTATTTCGTTTTTTTTTCTGGATTTTTCTTAGCTCATGCAAACAGACCTTCTAACATAGGGGCTGGTGCCCACTGAGAGAATCAAAAAGTTATGAATCGGGGAAAAAATGTCTGTGTTAGTCCTCTTGGCTGCTGGATGTGGCTTGTGAACCAAATTCCTGCTAAAGTACAAACCACAGGATTGGTTTAGAGCATCATCAGGTGAAGGTGCTTCCCATCCATCATACTGAGTCTATTTTAAAATCTAAGATATATGTTTTGCAGTGGGGAAAAAATGTGATATCAATTGTACAAGTCATCAAACAGCCCATAATTAAAAATATATCAAATTGAATTTACTTGTGGGAATACATAAAACTGAAAATAACATGTTGAGAATTCAAAAAATAGAAATTAAGGAATATTTTTGGAAGCCCTTAAAAATATGCATGTACATACATATTGCAAACACAAACACATACATTCAAAGCAAAGATGACATTAAAATCTACATCTTTGAAAGAACTAACTTCACAGTATTTCATTAGTTTTCCAAACCTTCAAGAAGGATTCCTTCTCTCTGATCACACTGACAGCAAACCAGGCATGGAGAAGCCAAAACAACTGTGTGTTGCTGCACCTTCTTTCTAGAAAAAAAAAAAAAAAAAAAAATTGTACACAACAAGCTAAATAGAATTGCTCTGTTCTGGACCTGTGGAGATTTGCGGGGAGAATAGTAGAAAGTATTAAGATGCTGAGCGCCAGTAATATATACATCCCTGATGGAAAGCATGCTTCGTATCCCAAGATTTCACAGAATACTGCTACTTGCTCTCTTGCAGCTAATGAGCTTTCCCTTTGCAAAAATATGTCCTGGGGTACCCAAGTGGGAATGTAGTAAACTCTCAGCTCTGCCTACATTTGACAGGTTTTCGGGTTCATCTTGCTGCCCTCTGCTTCCTCTAATCGAGAGTAGCATATGGCCACCTGTTAAATCCCAACAGGATTTCCAATGATTGTGGTGCTTCTAGAGTCATTTAATAACAATTATAGATGTCATGGGGAAAAGAGAGGTAGTTACAGTGCCTGTGTGCTTAATTTTCAGAGAATTAATTATTAAAAATTAAAAAATGCTTCCTTGAATTATTATTAAATAGTAAAATAAAGCAAACAACAACGAACAAACAAACAAAAAAAACAGCACAAATGAAAAACATAGTGTTTGGATTCTTGTGATGGCTGGATCTTTTCATAACTGAAAAAAGAGAAAAAGAAAACTATTAAGAACTAAAAGTTTGGGAGATGAGGATGTGTTGGGACACAGAAATATAAACTGTGCACTTCACTGCTCTCATTGCATGGTTAGAAGTATGAACAGAAGAGACAACTGAGGGAAAAAATCATCACAAAAAACTTTCAGCTTTTGTTCAGAAATACTTTGCATGGTCACACCACTGATATTGGAGGAAATACTCTTCTCTTCAGCGGGCTTTAACAAAATCAAGAAACTCGGGACTTTTGTTTCCACTTTTAAACATAACATTAAAGCAGACTTTTGACACAACTTGTAACTTGTTAAGGAAAAAAGAACAGCAATACATGTATGCAATTTGTGTAAAAAAACACGTATTTTTTACATGAATTCTAGGTCAATATGAAAGAATTTAAAATGGGAAATATCAACTACCAGAAGACAATTATTCTTAAATAAAGCTGTGCAATAATCTACGCTGTAGAACTGCATAGTAGGAGGATGCCCTATCTACAAATGTCCTGATGCTGAATGGTAGAATACCAGTGCACTGACTGAGGAAATTGGTCCTCTTCAAAGAATATATGAACATTAAATTGAGAAATATGTTTATTATCACGGAACAATGTCCTCTCCATACCACTTCCAGATTATGATAACAGCTTCTGGTTTTAATGAAGCATTTGCTTCCTAACAGAGGTTTTATTTGCAAGTTTAATTTTGGGTGCTTCTGTATGTTTGTGTCATCACGCAATAATTTATCATCACAGATATAATGTAAGGAAATCAAAAGACATATATAAAAGATTTATGAAGAATTAGAACAGCCCAGCATAATCCAGTAATTGAATCTCCAAGTCTTACTTGAAGTTTATGGCTGTTGACATTTAATCTACATGATTTGATCTGGCATGAAATCCTGTCTTCTCTCCCCGGAAAAAGAGTTTGTAGATATATGTTTTACCTGTACTGCACAGGAATAAATTATATTTTGATTGACCCCTAAGGGATCGTTGATAACATCTATGCAATGTTTTGTCTATGCCCACAAAACAAACACAATAGCTCTGTGCAGTATACAGTCATGATATTGACAAAGGTTAGCCATCAAATGTCTTCTGAAATCTGATCTAATAAGTGTTCATATCAGAAACAAAATATCTAAACAATTTGTTGGTTTTGCAACACTGGCTGAACTTAAATTAAAGGTTATTATAATATGAATGACTGTCCTATTTGCTGCTGTGTGCAAAGGCAAAACTCAGATGATTAAGGCTCTGATGTGCAGACTGCTAACTTGATTTGCTTGGGCAGCTCCTCCGTAATAACACTGTATAAAATAGAATTGTTTGCCAAAGCCCTGTAATGTGCTTTCATAACTTACCAGAATAGATGGCTTTACATACAAAAATCTCTGAAAGAGATGCCTTGATATTAGGAAATAGTATAAGTAATTGCATTAAAGCTAGATAAATATGTTTATCCTCAATGCAAATTTGAACCTGTTATTCAACATTTGGGATCTTTCCATTAATTATTCACATTATAAGGGCCAAGTTAGCAGACGGTGATCAGTAACCCTTCAAAGACCTACTGACTGTGGAAGGACACATTCTACCCTGACAGCAGATTAGCTGTTCAACTTTGCCCAGGACTAGGATTATATCAAACAATGAAAAGTGCATTAGAGAACTTCTGGAAGAATTTAATATTAATGTATTAGGGCCATCTTTTAATGCAGGGACTGTATTTTATTGCTGAAAATAGATGTAATTAATATAATAATTCCTTGCCCACTCCCTATCTGGCAATGTGCATTTAAGTAATTTGTATTTCATTGTTTTCTTTTTACTTCTATACAATTAAAATGTACAGCAAAGCTTATCATAAACATAGTTCTGTAGCAAATTTAAAAGAAAATTGAAACATGTTTACTCATAGACTGTGGGCTGTATACCATCAATAATTTCAGTTCATCATTCTGCCTACTGATTCTCTCAGTAAATAAATAAATTAAAAAATGTATGTAAAAAACAAATCTTATGAATACTTTAAAGGATTTGGCATTTTTCCTGATGTCTTTTTTTTAATACATTTTTTAAATCTACGCTCAAGTGAAACATAACTGAAAGTTATGAATACTATCAAGAAAGCAAAATTATATTCTCTGTCTATAAATAGCACTATATCATTCAATTATGATTAAAAATAATCTCAAGATGTGCTGGAGTATAGTCATCTTTTCTCTTCATTGTTAATATAAAAGCATAGGGAAATATTTGCCACAGCATGTTCTGAGATTTTACATCTATATTTTAAATATTCCTGTCTTATACAGTTCTGTTCAAATTTTTGTCAAAATATGAAACAAAACAGACAAATAAGGCAACAGAAAAAAAATCTTTGAAATATTCCTACGACATACAGGCATCACCTTCGGCTACTTGATTATTTTTGTGCCACATTGAGAAAAAGAAATTGATCTGGACTTTGTTCTACTTTCAAGGTCAGTCAATGGTCTGCGATTTAGAATAGAGGTTGTCAACCGAGAAGATTATTTCAGCGTCCTGTGTCGTGAAGAGTATGGTGTAATGTCAGTGTCTGATTTCAGTCTAAAAGGCTGTGTGGAATGCCAGATCATTTCCAAAACTGAAATTTTCCACTGGCAGAAAAGGTATTCTGTGCTATAAAAAATCTCGTCAGACTTGCTCCTGTTGAAAGTATGCCAGACAAATTCAATACACTGTAAGCATAGCATGAACTGGAAGGCCCTGTGTTGCTCACTGTGGGTTTGATATACCTGGATGGGTTCCAGAGAAAAATAATAGCACGTATCAGGGTGTATATATACACAAGCTCACTGCATTTAGCACATTTTGCATTAAATAATTAAAAAACAACCCCTTGAAAATTATGTGATAGATTTATACTGAAGGAATAAAAACACATGCATACCTGCGCTGTTCCACATACTGCTTTAATACTTGCTTTCGAAGTAGCTAAACTCTAATGACAATAAAAATAAATAGTAAGGAAATTTGGCTAAGTATTCCTGTTTTCCTTTTTAAGTGTGCCTCCTAAATACAGACAAGTGTACTAACAGTAATGTACTGTCAGTACATTTTTTTAGGGAGGTGTGGGTGAGAAAACAAACATTTTTGCAAACCATGACCCAATGGTACCCATTCCAGTACAGATATGGAGAATGGAGAATGCAAGAATTCTTCAGCCCTTCTATGCTGGCAAAGCAGGTTGGCCACAAAAGGTTATAAATGTCTGAGAAATGAGCAAGGCTAAATGCTGGTCCCATGGGAGAAACTCATACCAATGTTTTGGAGAAGAATTGCAGGGCCTTGGGAAAGAGCAAGATCCTAGTAAGAAGGGAATTTTCAGTGCAGATATTAAGCTGATCAATGCCAAAAATAAATCTTCATGTATAATTTTAGTAGCTGTCATTTGGATGTCTTAAACCTTGGCAGCTTGTTGTGATTAGATATATAAAGTCTCTCTAATCCCTTTTATATGTGTATACTTATACTGAAATGATGGTATTATTTCTAAGTTAAACAGGAAGAAATGACAAAAGAACCATGCCTGGGAGTAAAATTCTAATTTAAGTGTAAGCTTGTGCCTAGCCACTTACTCATATGAATTATACAGAAGCCATGGATACTCTGGGTGTAAATTCAGGTAGAACTTCACTACTAATTTATGAATGTGTTGCATTCCTGTGAGAAGAAAAAACAAACCCTGAGATATTACAGCCTTATAAAAACATCCCCTTTGTGGCATAATCTTTTAGAAAAAAAATAAATCATATCTCATCTTTTTGTAAATTGACCTGTAAGTTGCTGGCAGCAAATCAATAGGATACAAATGAAAAATAATAATGCAATAACAATGTTATGTATTATCTTGGACCCCAGATGAAAACTTGTAAAATGATCAATATGATAAAGATTCAGTACTGTTACTCTTTCAGAAAGAAATGACAAAATAACATAGTGATTTCAAAAGGTGGCTATGGAAAAATCCGACTCATCTGCTAAAAAATGAAAAGATAAATCCACATATAAAATATTTCCTTGTTTGTTTCTTTTCCCCTAGACTTCTATTACTTTGAAATGGATTAAAATAGAGCAGTTTTATTTTTGTGGAGAAAAATTGAGCAAGAAACATTCATTTTAGCTGTATCCCAACAAGCTCAATGAATGAAAACTTGAAGTATACAAGACGAATAAGAAAATTAGTGGTTTCCATGAATTACTTACATGTGCTAACAAGCTCAACTGATCAAAAAAAAAAAAAAAATCCCAGCAGAGTGTTTGTTAAACAGAACAAGCTCAGGCAAACTCAGGAGCTGGTAACCAATGCTTTGCATATCAAATGCTGTTT